TGTAACCAACTGTTGAACCATTTGCATATTTGAATAAAAACAGTTATAATTGAAGAGTGAGGCAATATACCTAGGGAATTGGGCTTGTTAATCCGGACTATTGCATAACTCAACTTTGATAGAAGTTGTATCATTACGAGTTATCATGTTTGTGAATTTAACATTTTAATCGAACATTATATATTAGACAATCTTTTACATAAACAAATATACTTAAACAAATATATTTCCACTAATGCTAACTTATTTTTTAAAATTCTTAATTTAATTAAATTATTGTAATTTGCTTAGAAAAGGCAAATTTTGAGAATATATGTTAATTTTGCATGCACTTTAGAATCCTGTAAATAAAATCGAAACAGACGTCATTTGTGCATCGTGTATAAAGGCTAACAAGCAACACCAAATTATATCTTTATAAAAGATATTTTTTATAATGATGAAGCACATTTAAATTACACAAAAAATAAATTAACGGCCAATTTTGACCGAATCTTGCCCAGGTCTAAAATGGCAAGTAGTTCTGTATAAAACTTTTTTGTTGATCATGAAAGCAGATGATTGACTTTTACCAAAAGTTCTATGGCAGGCTGACTCCATTAAAATAGTTTTAGATGAATGATATGAAAGTAGAATTAAAATATCGGTATTATCAGGTAATTGCAGCGGAACGTTTTTCTTGGGCTATGTTAAAAGTTTTTAAGAACACCAATGTATCTGCATCGTCTTTAATCTTTGTATATTTATGGATATGTACTTGCATGTTCCATGTTTGTAAAGAGTATTTAGAAAAAGACTGTACAAACACATAAGACAGCAATAAATTAGTTTAAAATCTAGACGAGATTATTTCATTACAACTATTACTTGTAAAATTTGTCCACATCGTGTATGTTGCATAATTTGAAATAGTGATTTCAAATAATCAAATATAAACTATTATTTAATTATTCGTATTACTAATTTTAACATCCAATTAAAAATTGTGATCAAAGTTCAAGTGGAATGTTTGTTGAAACTAATAAAAATAAATCATTTTTTCATTTCCTTTTATTTTTTAAAACCAATGCTACCTTCTTATTCAGCATGAAATCTTGTAATTTGTAATATCTTGTAATTTGATGCCGCACTTGATATTATTAATGATTTTTTAAAATATATTTTCGATGTATTTTCTTCAAGATCGCGGGAAAAATCGCATTTTGTACGGATTTATATTTTTAGTTTGTTGGTTATGAGTGTGTTACCTACCATTTACAACAAGAGTCATTTTTATTGTTTAGTTCCAACTCTGACTCTATTTCTACTGTACTAACATGAAATTGATAAAAAATAAGTTTACTTGATAAATTTAAATACTTTATTAAACCAAGAAACTATATATTAAAATGAAACGATACAATTTTCATATAGTGCAATCAAGGGATGGCTTGGCTTTCTAATCCTCACGATTGGAGGTGCCAAATACTGTATTGTATAACAATGTTGTAGAGCTGAAGAGGAACATAGTCCAGATCTAAAATTGTTATAAACATTTCTATAACATGCTGAGGACATGAAGAGATTTCAGAGGGAGGAGATCCCCCACACTCTAGCTGAAAAAAAAATACAATTTTAATTTTAATACTGCTTTGGAATAATTTTATATATTCCATATTTTTTTATCCGTAACAGGACAAGTTATGTTATTTAATGAAGCAAGCAGTTGTTATATATTTTGAAACTCATACCCCTTACTTGGGAACACGAATGAATTCCGCATGACATGTAGAAAACATAGAAAATAATACCATTTTATATCGTTGACCGTTCGGATCAGTGGCGATACACATGAGGAGGGAGATTTTTCTCTTCCAGAATAACCATTAAGAACCATTATTTAAAATTTAATTAGTATCAGTACTTGCGGATAACTAACTATATATAAATCACGAGCGGATCAACGGGGGGGAAGGAGGGCTTTCGGGCTGAAGCCCCCCCCCAAAATGGTAAAATATAACTATGTTTTATGGGAAAATATATTAATAAATTATCTCTTAAAGTATTATTATTGGTGTAAATACATTTAAAAGGGCTTAAGGAATCACTTAAACACCATTTCATATAGATAGCTAGTTTCTTTCTTTTTTTCCAAGGTAATTATAGCCATTTTTATGAAAAAAAAAGCTTTCGGGCTGAAGCCCTCCCCCAAAATTGAATCCTGGATCCGCTAGTGATATAAATTATAATAAATTAATTACTGCTAGATTTAAGGTTTTTTTAGGGATCAAAATTTTTTGGTGTTTTCTCTTAGGATGAAAACGTTGTTGGGGTTTAGGAGAGGTGGGTTTTTTATTTTCTTGACTATATTTTTCTTTATCTATTGCTAAATGCATTCATAATTTTTATTTGATTAGTAATTAAACGTAATAAGTGAAACAAAATGAGTTTAAAAACAAACTTTAAATTTTTAAAATTAATTTAAAGTGTAATAAACTAATGGAAAACTAAAAAGACGTTTCCATGACTAAATATCGTTCATTGTGAAGTCATATCCCCACGTTCTAGCTTAGGTATTGAATTAAATTAACGGCCCGGATTTACAATAGGGATGCTCCTTAGGCTGAGTTTGTGTTGCCCTTTATATACATCATGTCAATTTTACACCAGAAAACAATCTAATAATATTGTAAATCAATATATTGTACAAAATAGGATTAAATTAGAACTTCTTAAAACTCATTTTGATTCCAAGTTTATTTTTTTTAAATATGTTCACTATAGTAATGTGTTCATCTAGGTAGGGTCTCGTTAGCCTTGTGTTTAAAACGGCCACTTGGCGAAAATTTTGAACTAATAATTTTAAATACTTTTTTATTATATTATGTTTACATATTATTAATTTATTTCAAGTTAATTAATTTGATCTGAACTTTCAATTCGTATGACTAATTTTAAGTAATATAGAATATGTGTTATATGGGCATCCCTAGAAAGAAAATTTTCTGTCTTGTGTCTAATGGACTACGTTATGTGGCTATTAAAGAGATTTGTGAATCATGGGTTGAAACTCGAAAATTGAAGTTTCACCCGACAAGGGTACCCATTTCTCCCTCCCCTCCCCCCTCTAAGGTCAATGTCGCATGAACCTCCTTCTCTCAAGATATTTTATTGCTCTCCTATTCTTATAAACAGTGTAAGATAAAGTAAGATTTAAAATCATAGCTCATACACAATTACACTTTCAATGGTCTGTTATATTCTTTCCTCTTGTTCCCTGGTTTACAACTTTTTATTCAGAAAATGTATAACCCTGTTGAAATGTGCCCCCCTCAAAAATGCAAAACTTGATCAAAAAGTGCCCCTCAAAAATTTTGTGGGCGCAACTTCCGCAATGAAACCCCCTCCTGGGCACCTCTGGCACCCGTGAAAATTCCAAACTTGAATGACATTTTCCGGAAAATATGATTTCATCACTTAAAACACTATTCACAGTTGCCTTAGACATAAAAAGTTAAAAAAACTTGTTTCTTTATAATTTACTCATATCATATTCTAGAGAGATAATTTTAGCTAATAAAGGAAAATTAAACATTTAGGATTAAAGTTAGCGGGTTAAGGGGAAAATTTATGTGGGTACGTTTAAAAGGGAAATACATGAACAACACTGGGAACTAGTTAGTAGCTACTGCAGTTATCAAAAGTAACCAGTTACTGCTTGGTCGCTTATACGTAGTTCCATGTCACTGGCAGTTCTAGTTTCTGTTGTCAAGTAAATTCAATTCCAATAGCTGATCAAGCTCAGTTGCTTTCTCATCTTATTGCGTTGTGTCTCTACGATTCTTTGTGTTTTCAGGTTCTGGCCCACTGTAAAATTCATTAATTACGTCAGTGATAATTTATTATTAATTGTAAACAATTAATCAATGATTTAGATTTTTAATATTATCATTAAGGAAAGTATAGGTGAAGCTGCAAAACTGTTACAAGGTAGGTTAAACAAATATTTAGTTAGAGAAATGTTTTCATCATTTGCTTGACAATGGTTCAATAAAAAATGTTTTAAATTTCCTTGAAAAATAATTTAATAATTCATGTCATTTACTAAGGAGCCACATTTTCCAAGGTATTAGGTTTTTCTAATGTTTGCTAATTGTGATGTATCCGAGGTAATATATTCATAATTTAATTAATACTTTCCTATACTATATTCTTCTGTTAAATTAATTTTTGACCCAATAAAAATTTATTTCATATTCCAGCCAAAAGTGTTATTTTTAATGCTTTGTGAGTTGAGTTATATTCTTTCCAAATTTCCTAATTATTATGAATTAATCAATTTTTATTGTTCAACAATGTTGTTTTGGTTTTATTCCATTCTTTCGTTATTTTTACCATCATTGTTCTGAAGGGAGTTATGTAACTAATACTGATAGCCTGCAATCAACTTTATTCCAAACAAGTTCATTGTGCAGTGCAGTTCATAAGCTTGATTAGTTTCTTTTAGAACTAATTTTAAATTATTTCAGCAGTTCGATTTCTTGGTGGTATTGCAAATATCTATTTATCTTTTATCAATTACTGTTGATACATTATGCTGGTTCAATTCATGATAAAACTAGTAGCTGCCATTTAATTTTATAAATTTAGTATTTTGATTAATCAGTGGGAAGAGAATTTGGCTATCTAAAACATGCCGAATATATTTATCATTGAAGCTGCTCAGAGATAATTTAATAATGGTTGAGATTGGTTTGATAGTTCTCATTTTAGTTGATTATTAAAATAAAGTAACCACAAGCTAACTACAAATGAAATGTGTACTAATTGATATAATAAATGTATTGTTTTCTTAATCCAAATAGAAAATTTTCATTATCTAGTATTTTTATCAATGTTTACCCGTTAATATTTACATTAGGACTCTATTTAATTTTGATTAGTTATAACACAAATTACTATCATAATTAATTGTTCATTTTAGGTGCAGCCTTAAAAGTTCTTAAAATCACTTTGAAAAGATGCCTATTCTCTACAGTGTTATATCACGAGGAACCACTGTACTAGCTAGTTATGCTTCTTGTCCTGGAAATTTTCAAGAAGTGACTGAGCAAATTTTAGCGAAAATTGGACCCGAAGATGGAAAACTGTCTTTATCTCATAGCAGTTATCTTTTTGATTATATATGTGAAAAAGGGATAATATACATGTGTATCACTGATGATGTAAGTTTTGACATTTTTATTAAATTTTACAGAAAATGTTGATGATACAAAAACCTCAAACTCTATTACTGTCAAACACTGTTATTCAGTTGAATAAATTGACTTAAATTTATAATTACGTCCCATGTATTTTGAAATAGATATTTTTATACCATAAACATCATTAGCTTGAATGTGATTAATCAGAATTTCACAGGGACGGGAGAAGAGGGTTAGGGAATCTTATGCTCAGTTTTAGATTTTCAGTCAAAAAGAGATGAAGTTAATAAAAATATTTCACTAAGTTTCAATGGGATTTCTGATTGAAATTAACTATTAGTTAAACATAGCCGTTATGAAGTATGTAGCATCATTAATTATGTTTGTTGAATGAATTGTGTTGTGTTAATTTGTTGTAGACTTTCTAGATAGTAATATTTATAAATAAATATGTTAAGTAATATTTTGTAAATAAATATGTTACTCTAATATTTCCTTATGCTTTTATTGCCTTATTTTTAGAAGAAATGTAAATATTTTAATGTGATGTTCTTTTACTTTCCAGTAGATATTTAGTATTTCTATTAGTGATATCCGTTTTACTGGTGAAATACTGTACCAATTAGCAAAAGTAGAGTAATGCTCAAAAGGAATTTTCTACTAAGATTCTCACATATACAATTTTGGATATTACCAGTATTATTTAAATTACTTTCATTATGCTGATTTATAGTGAATAATGGCTGAAATGTAATGGTTAATTTTTGTTTGCATTTTCCTTTGTATCAGGGAAACGTGGCGGATATTTGTTGGGTTAGTTTGTCAGAGATATTTTTCCTCCCTTTTAATTTTAGAATATTTAGTATATCAAAATGAAATTTAAATGTAGCACTCTAATTGAGAATCTCTTCTCTATTGCATGATTATTTTGAAAATAAAATAATATTCATGCTCTATCATTTCTAAAATGTGAAAGCATTAATCCTTGTGGATTCTATCATACCTTTAATTGTAGAGTTGTATTTTATTTTAAATTACTGAATAATAAAATTGATAAAATAACAGTAAAAGAATTAGAGTTTTGATGTATATTATTTAATTTGTTGTTAACTATCTGCTTACTGAAATAATGTCAAGGTAATTATGTTATCCAATTAATAAAATGTTCTTTAGTTACCGAGAGTTATTAGTTGTAACTGTACTAATTACAGTTTATATTATTAATTTTTAACAGTTAATTAATTAATTTTTTAATATTAATAAAATATATTAATATTTTTTATCATATATTTTTCTATTATATAATACATACATATATTTTATTTGCTTCTATATGTCTTAAGTCTTTTTTCTTTCTTTTTTTTTTAGGAATTTGAAAGATCCCGAGCTTTTCTTTACTTAAATGATATCAAGCGAAAATTCTTGGCTTCTTTTGGCCTTAGAGCTAAGACTGCAATAGCATATGCTATGAACAATGAATTTTCACCAGTACTACGTGCTCAGATGGTAGGTTTTACTGTGTGTTAAATCTTTGTTGGAATAAGCCAATAATGATTCCTGTTGATAATGGTCTTTGAGATAAGACTTTAGGAGTAATGTACTCTAGAGTTAGTGAACTGACAATTTATAAATCTTTTCTTTTTGATTAATTGTTTAACATGACTTATGATCTGAATGTGTTAAGTCTACTTACTAGATCTTTTAAAGTTTATATTCTTCACAATTAGATATATATATATATATATATATATATATATATATATATATATATATATATATATATATATATATATATATATATATAAAAATAAGACATGTTTTGGAGATATTGCAAGTTGAAGCTACAAGATTTCTCTTAATATTTTCAATGTATTTCTTTATTTATAATTTATTTTTTTCATTACAGAAACATTACTCAGAAGCTAAAGACATTGATACTATTTCACGTGTGCACAGTGAACTCGATGAACTAAAGGATATAATGGTTAGAAATATAGGTAGGTGCCAAAGAAATCTTTTATTTTGAATGCTTTTAAAAATACTTTCCCCATAAACATTGATTAATTAAATTAAATTGTGATTTTCATAACTAGTCAAATGAGAGTTGTTCTTGTCGAATTTTGCTGTATCCTGTCATTAATCACTATTAGTCAAAAACAAATATTTTATCAACATCAATAAACAATTACTGAACTAGATATAAGGGAAGAATAAGACTAAAAAAATTGTTTGCTGTGAATTATGTTAAGAAATTTGAACCAATATTGAAAACTGTCAAGAACTCAACATTGGATTGATTAAATGAGTCACTTATTTCCAAAGTGAACCCTAACAAATTTTTATGGAAGTGAGGCAAGTATTGATTCCTATGTAAAAACAGGCAATGAATCTGGTGGTGGAATCTGAAACCGGCTTTTTTTTTTCTAGGAATGTAATGAAACTGGTATTTCATTAGCATTCTTAAAGAAACAAATCATCTAAAGCTTTTTAACTATTTTATTCAATTGAAAATTTATTTATTGTACCATCATTTTAAAAAAAATAATTAATTTTTAGTTACTTATTTAATAGCGGGTAGCATCAAAACCTCCCTTCTTATCTAATCTCATTTCACATAACCTTCCTTATCTCATCTAACCTAAGTTATTCCCTTATTTATTTTTTGTTTCTTGTGTTAGCTGTGAGTTAGTGTTATTTAATTATGGATGTTGTCACATTGTGGGAATTTCCGTCTTCAGAAGAAGAGGCTATAAAATATTTTCAAGGTGCCGGGATATTTGCAAAGATCAAATATTGTGATGAAGGTCATCAAATGAAGTTCGACGGGAAGGAGTTAAATGGAGATGCTTTAGTAGTTGTAACAAAACCAACAACAAAGTTATATTTATATTATGTTGTAACAAAGTTAGAGGGGTCTAGGATTTCTTTTTTAACGGCTTTAAAATTCATTTATGGGTGGTCCCATTAGCAGCTCAAACAATCCAACACAACTATCGTAACATGGAACAAATTTTTAAGAGAAGTTTGTGCCCATGACAGATCCCTTCCTTACTATTTTAAATACCACAAAACTATTTTCCCTACCAAAATAAATCAAGTTAAAATAAATTTTTTCATATTTTCTTTATATCGTTTCTTCATAGTGTTTCTTTTATATGTACAAATGCTGTTAAAGTGGGTTTTTTTATGATTTCATCTATTTTTTGCCAATTTTTATTATTTCATTTATTTTGAAATATATGTTGCAATGTTTTGGTAATGTTTTTTAATTATATATTTATAATGTTTTGGTATATTTCAATATATATATATATATATATATATATATATATATATATATATATATATATATATATATGTTGTAAAATAAAACTATTTTTTTATTATTACTTTTGTTTTTGTTCACAATTTTAATAATATCGATACAATACAATAAATATGAATACAAAGATATAATAATATGAATATAATACAATAAATATGAATACGAAGAGCTTATCACTGTTAAGGTTATAAACATTGGCAGATAGCAGTCGGATGCTACCTGCTATTAAATAAGTACCAATTTTTATATAAAATTTTTGTAAGTGTTTTTCTTCCGTTTTTTCTTTCCGAAACAAACCCCCCAAATCTACCTTTTTTTGTTCTAAAATGGGGGTTGAAGTTTATTTATTTCCAAAAGTGACTCTGTTCGAGTTTCACTAGTTTTTAGTTACTACTGGAATAATAATAATCTTTTATTTATTCTGGGACGAATCCCTTTAGAATAATTAACAAGGACATAAATGTGGGCTTTTGAACCTCAGATATACATAAATGTATTTACAAAGTTAACTAATAGATATAATAGAGAAAAAAAAATGTTATCTTCTAGATTGAATCAATTAAGAAGAAATAAAAATAATAATTGAAAGAAGACTGAAATGAAAATAATTGGAAATAGACTAATAATATATATAGGGGGAATATTATGTTAAGGGAAGTGGGGAAATATTAAGGAGGTGACCAGGAGAAAAAGGCTATATTTATGTGTTTTAGGGTGGAAAAGATACGTCGGGAGATATTGGATACATGGTTTTTCCAGGAAAGGGTTTGATAAAAGATCATTCCAAGATTTTTTATGGTGGGATAAAATTAGATGGGATTATTATGTAGGAACAGTTTTGAGGAGGTGATTGGAGCATATTAGGATTGCCTTGGTCTTTTTCGCATTCCACTTCAGCTTGTTAGCTCCTGTCCAGTCATATATTCTATTTAAATCTTCTTGAAACTTCTATGTGCCAGCTAATAGGTCAAAAGGGGGGAAGGACAGGTATTTTTGGAAATCGTCTGCATAGATGTGGTATTGGGAATGATGGATCAGGAGGGGAAGGTCATTAATGTAAATAGTAAACAGAGTAGGAGATAAGAAGGAATCCTGAGGGACACCACAGGAGAGGGGTAGTGTCTTTGAAGGAGGTTGATCTGATATCGATCGGAAAGGAAGGATTTGAACCAACGCAGGACACTGTTGGTTAGAGGAAGATTTTGCAATTTGGTAAGGAGGATGTTGTGGTCAACTGTATCAAACACTTTGGAAAAATCTAGAACGATTAGGATAGTAAGGTTTAATCAGTGATTTTTGGAAATATGTTTTAGAGATAAAGAGTTTCATAATTTATTTTTAAAAATATGGGTTTTCATATTACAGTTGAAATAGAAAATATAGTTTTTTGTGTTTTGCGGATATTTGATAATGATTTGAGTTTACTTTGGAATTAAACTACCCAAATAAGAATTTTCGATTATCAGAAATCAGTATGCTATTTATAATTTATTTAGTTGTATTTTGACAATTATGGTTCCAAACTTGTCATTTATATTCCTAGTTATCAAACCAGTTTTTCCTCAAAAACTTTAGTTAAAGTTTTGGAATCATGTCTGAATAATTCATTTCAAAAAATGTTCATAATGTTTAAAATATCAAATACTTATTTGATTCCTTTATAAGTGTATTCTGGCCATAATATAAGCTGTTTAACACAGTTCATATTCTAGTTTTTATGTTCTCATTAAAATTTTATTGCCGGAATTTTAATTCAATGTTACAACATTAAATGTCACTTTGCTTTGTTAAATTTATAGAAAATAGTTATGTTGACTCTATTGAAAATACAGATTTAAATCTTCTGTTTGAATTTTAGATAACGTGGCTATGAGAGGTGAAAATGTTAAACTTCTTGTTGACAAAACTGAGCAACTCAGTAAAACGTCTGTCACATTTAGAAGCCAGAGTAGACATTTGCAGAGATCTCTGTTCTGGAAAAACGTCAAAATTTATGTCATTATTTCTGTTGTTTGTATTGTAAGTATTTCCTTAGTTAATATTATGAAAATGTTCAAGTGATATTTAAAATATATGAACTTATTTGTGGATAGAGTTTTTGAGTTGATTCATTCATTTGGTAATGTCGAAACTTAAATATCTGCAATGAATAGTTAGATTGAAGTGGTCAAGAAATGCTAAATATTTTTGTACATGTTTTATTTTATCATATGGAGCGTTGGTTGAAAATCTTTTTTTATCTTAGAGCTTTGTGGCTTAAAAATTGGTCGTGAAAATCTATTTTAATCTTATTTAAAGGATGTCTATCAATTTCTAAGCCACAGAGCTACAAACTGAAACAAAAGTTATGACAGAAAAAAGTTACAGTAATACGTGAGACCATCGATATCTTATTTTGATTCTTATCTAAATGATCAATATGTTCTGTTATTTTCAGGTTATTCTTTACCTTCTGCTGGCGATGAGCTGTGGTGGACTCTTCTTACCCAGCTGTTAACATTTTTTGATCTGATTACAAGAGCCAGAAGGAAATCCATTACCCACAGAAAAACACAGATTGATAGGTTGACCTAGCAATGATTTTTTTTTTAAAAAATGACTTGTGTCTTCAGTAAATTTTTTTAGAATGTTACTTATTATTACATTTTCATTTTGAACATTCAATGTTTGAATTTTCAAAGTCTAGATTATTTTAAATATTGAATTTTTGCCCTGTATTATTTATCAATGATTTCTGTTATACTTAGTGTTTAGCTTGCATTGCTTTTTTGCACAGCATCTAGTCTGAAAAAATTAGAAATTATTTACACTATATTTTATTCCTCTTTATTGCAATATTTCCATGACTGTTGTGGTGACTACTCGCATTCACTAGCCGCTCACCATCATCTATGTAATCGTGTAATGTATTTATAAAGTATTGAACTGTGATAAAATAATTTCAATTGTCGTAGCTCCAGCTTATATTAATTGTTGTATGTGCTAGTGTAGTTATATTTAAATATTTTGTTTTTATTTTCACATTATATGTTTTCGTTAGTTAGATGGCCTGATTCATTATTATTTTATGTACAAATGGAATATTTCTAAACAATTGTTTCTATTAACAATTTAAAACAATATGTTTGTAAGGGGAGGGTGTGTTCAGAAATTGTATCCATTTTGCTCCAGTAGCCAGATTATTAAATAAAAATAAGCATTAGTGTTGCATTTTTATTTTTATATATTGGTGTAGAAAGTCTAAAAATTTGATTCCTTTTATTGAGTTTTAGTAATAAATCTTGGAAGCTTAGGATACTGGGTCCATTTTTTATTAATTTAGCATTATTACATATTTTTGTTTAACCTTTTTGGATTTGCCAGAGGTATGGGTAACTATTTCCTTGACCAAATATAGGGGGATTACATACTTTTAAAGAACACTATCTCCACTTAAATTTGTAGAAATGCATCTGCTTAAAAATTTTTTCTGTAAGGTTAAGAAAATGTTACCTATTCCCATATATCTCTAAAGTACAGCTGTATCTATACATTATATTTTATGTCTTTATAGTAGACTCTATCTATATTGTATGTACTTATATTTAACACCGAATTGGCAATAGACTCAGAATTTATTCATGGTAAATTTAATTTAAAAATATAAACCTACTGAACTTGTTATTTTCATTCTTTAAATTGAAACTCTTACACTCAATTTATTTTGTGTCTCAACAATAACTTCAATTTATTTGTGTGATCGTATACAGATATGTCACAATTATTATATTAACCTTCTTGAATACACCTTCCTTAGAATTTTTGGAGTGGTACTTGACTGATAGTATTTAATTCTAAAATAGCTGTTAGGAATATATTAAAGAATCTTCAAAGATGTACTGTCAAACTAATTTTAGGTATTTCATTTTTAATATTCATTGTTATGGTAAGAACTATTATATTCTGTTATATTATAATGAGTTATATCTTTAAAGTTTTAAAATTATATCATGTGTATGAATATGCACTACAATGAAAATGTGTAAATAAAAGGAAAAGTATATAAATTTATTAAATTAATGGAAATTTAGTACTTCTATCTTTCCAAGATGTTTTATTTTTCCTAGGACTTAACCTGATTATAACTATTTTCTGTTAAGAAAAGAGTTAGATGTGGATCAATTTTGGATACTTTGAAAACTCATTGTTTGAAATAAATGGAATGGACAGAATTGAATTAAGGATATACATATTTGTTTCCATAAATTGTCCATTCTGTATCGAAAAACGCCTGTCAATATTATTTTTTTCTCATATTGTAGGTAGAAAGTAAAAAAAAATTCAATCTTTAGACCTTTTCTCATCCATGTAGAAAGAACTGCAAAAATGTAATAGTTATTGTTTTTTCTCATATCATCTTGAAGTTAATAGCAAAAGTTTTGGACAAAACAGTTATTTGTTCTGAAATGTTTATACAACATAAAAAATTATTTGAAAAAACACTTCAAGATTCAAACTTAGTAATTATTATGACTACTGTTTTACAAAGACCTGTCAATTATAAGTTAGGTTTTGCTGTTGTTATTTTTTAGCCTAAATAATTTAAGATTTAACAACCAAAAAAAAATATTTTGTTACTGTGACTTTGTTACCATTAAAAAGACTCAGGAATTAATTTTCTAAACCTAATTTTTTTTAAATTTCATTTGTTTTTAAAAAGTTTATCTGGCTTGAAAATTTCAGTAATTAATTGTGATCTTTTTAGGTTCCTATTTTTCTATTTCTCAGTTATAGAAATAATTTACAATTTAATTGTTTAGGATGCTTCAGGATCTTGAACTCTGTATCAGCCTAAGTTTATTTCTTAGATGTCTACTTTAATTTTTATACGATTTCATTATTTTTATATTAAATCATTTATAATCATACAAGTATTTCATATATCTCACATTTTATATGGTATATTCCACCGATTAATTCTACCATAGTGAAAGGTTGAAATTCATACCATGGATTCACCATAAAATAAATTTCAAACTGCCAAGTCTCAATTCAAACTTCCATCACTTAACTCGAGGTTTGTGAAGTTATAGCTTAACACGTTCTACCACTGTCTTTAATTGATGAAATGTTCAGAAACCACTGAAGCTTATTTGATTAGTTAACACTCATTTATTAATTTCAAATAACACTCATTTCATTAATTTTATTCTTCCTCCAAAAAAATTCAATCTGATACAATTAAATATGTTTTAGGTTGTAGTTAGATTTTGTTTTCAGGGTCAAAGATATCTATTTAAACAGGGTTCAAGGAGTTTTTTTTATTGTCTTCATTGTTTGAAAAAATCATACAATATTATTTTTGTTTTTCAGTTGTCTATTTGGACTTGCAGTACACACATTTTCTTATCAATCCAAAAAAAAATAATGAGATTTTAATATTCTAAAAGGTATTTACAAAATAAATAAATACTATTCTTTAATTAATTTTGGAGAATTTTAATTATAAACATATTTGGAATAGTTTGACAACATAAATGTAGTGTTGATCTAATGATATTTTATGAAAAATATTGAAATATTTTGAAACCATTGAATTTCAGATATCAGTTAATAAATAACTAATCAGTCAACAAAAATTGTTTTTGCTCTTGAAAATAAATAAAGTTTGAAACTATAAACTAAATATAATAAACAGTCAACGTTTTTTCAATTCAGGAATCAACAGAGTTGGGAATGAAAATATCGCATTATACAGATGAGAAAGCTTATCTTACATCTACAGACCAAATTGAGTACATTATGGTGTACCAACGTACAGGTACATGGTGATCTTATCTTCAGTGTTTATGGTTATGCCCAAATACTAAGACATCTTTCTATACTCAAAGCATTCTTTACTGCAGGTCACTCTGCATTTGTTTTATCTTTCCAAACTAGCATAATTTGACTTTTGTTTGCATCTATGGCCATTCCTTTTCTTTTTATTTTCTCCCTATATTTATAAACTGCTTGTTGTAGGTCCTATTAATCATAACAATAAGATATTTGGGAGCATTTTAAAAATGTTACACTGCTCCTATATCCCTCTTCAGGACAAAATCAAACACTACTTTCAGATCTATGTAGACTAAATACATATTTTTGAATCTTTTTCATTTCTTTTCAACAATCATTTTAAGGGAAAATTCATGGCGTTATTTTGCCTTTCTAATCTAAATGCCTATACTTCCACCATGGTTCTGCATAGTTAGATTTCTCAATCTCTGTTCCAATATAATTGTATATGTTTTATTTATGATAAACAACCTTATTTAGGTTATTCCTTTGTTTTGTGGGATTTATTTTATATAATTATTATATTTAATCTTTATAGTTATATTTACCTTTATATATATCTAATTATGTTTATATATAAATAATTATATGTCTATATAATTATTATATTTAATCTATATATGTTTATGTTTTAACTAAAACTTTTTTAATCTCACAATCTTTTATTGTATATTTAAAACATTTTTATGTATATGAAAAATTTATTATAATGTTTTGGACATTTTCAAATATATTTACTGCACATATTTATGTATATGAAAAATTTATTATAATGTTTTGGCCATTTTCAAATACATTTACTGCACATATTTATGTATATAAAATAAAATATTGTAAGATTAAAAGAGTTTTAGTAAAAACATAATCATATATAGATTAAATATAATAAGTATATATTTTACTTATAACTGGTGTGAGCCAAATAGAACTAAAATTTTCTCATTGAATTTAAAATTCGTTTGTATGTATAGGTACAATAATATTATACTCCCAATCTTTTTCTCATTTGAAATAGCTTTTGGAACAGCTTTATGGTTTCTTTACATCCATCCTTTATTAATTCAGCCACTGTCCCACAACTTCCCGAGGCTTTACTCTTTTTTCATCTTATTGTAGGTAGCTCTACTTCTTCATTGCTGATACATTTATCCATATACTCTACCTGTGTTTGATTTACTCTTAGTTTAATCTCATTTGGAGCTCACCCTTCAGCAAATTTTTCCTGTAAGTGTTTCCTCCATGCTTCAAGTATCTCTTCATATTTCGCAACTATTATTCCATTCTCATTTTAGATATTTCTTATCTACTTCCCCTTTTCCCCACCACTCAGGTCCTTAACCATGTTCCAGAACGTTTTAATATTCTACTTGAAATTATTTTGTATCAATCTTCCCTTGCTTTCACTTTTGATTTCTTAAATATCATTTTGAACCAAGACAAAAGCAATTGTACTTGAGAGCAAGACTGAGAGGGCACACCATATAACAAAGAACTTAAAAGGGCAGAGGATACATCTGAGTGAGGTGGTAATCAACCTTGGAGTTACGTTAGGTTTAGGCCTGAATGCAATGCCATACTTAGAATATCTGGCTGGTAGGGTGGCCCAAGCAATGAATGGTCTAAAAAGCATAGTGCACTCTGGGGCCTCTGTTTAGCTTCTTAAAATAGTTTTCTCACTTATTTTAACCTCCACTCCTTTATTTACTCTTTTATCCATAATTACTGAGTATTTGAGATAAAATTCTTTGTTTCGGGCTTTCACTTGTTTCACTTGTTTCTTCACTAATCCTCAGGAGGTCAATATTACATTTTGTTATACCTTCAAACAATTCCAGCTCTTTCTCCCATCAATGTTCTAATATTTTATGCGATCAGTCATATGTCCTTATTCCAATCAGTTTCATTTTAATCTTTAATACTCCAGATGGGTGATTAGAACAGTGCTGAAGGCTTCATTACATTTTAACAATTGGAATCATTTCCTACTTGCAAACTATTGAGGCTTCCCTGGAGAAGTAAACCTATAGTATGCATCATTGGTGACCTCATGTTAGTTTATGTGTGTACTGTAATATTATGGTGAAATTGTGTGTTGTGCACTACTCAGGGCCTAGGGGTTTGTTATGTCCTTCTGGACTAACACCCTGTTGCGAGAAAAATGATGGATGACAATTAAGCTGGATTTAATTAAAGTTATTGTTTAATCGATTTAGTGTTTGTTTTAAAAAATCATACAGTGTAAATACTTTTTTCCTAGGAGTTCTATCATTTTTTATTTTTATTCCACTAAGCTTAAGAGTTTTATGATTTTGAACACATTATTATTTTTTTTTCTGTTTGTAATACATTTTTCAATTCTGTGATGTTGGATGAAGTTAGCAATTCCTTATGTCTATTAAATTTATGCAACTGGGTGTATAAAAATGGTGGAAAGCTTTTTGTCACCCCTGTAGGTTCTTCATTAATTTTATCTTTGTTGCTTGAGAAAAATATAAGAGAATATTTGTATTATTTTAATTAACCTTACTAAAGATAAATCAATAGTTGCTTACTGGGTTTATGGTATTATTTTGAGATTTAATCAGTAGGTTCCTTAGGAACTAAATTTTCATCTTCATTGACAAGAATCGATCCAGGGTGTTCTTATAATCTAAACATGATGGCATACTATTCTATGCAGGCCAGCAAACAGTAATTATTACAGCCATGCTATTTCTCTTTGTTTCATAAATTAAACTAATCTTTTTCGTAGCTGCTCTATACTAGGTTATACCTTTTTAAATTTTAGTACCTTATTTGTAATTATAGCTGTACATAGAAAATAGAATATTTAAATTATGAGTATTTTAATTATGAACAATGGATTATAAGGCAGAAGGAGGTGGTTTCCAATGAAATTGTTGTTGATATCTAAAATAAAGAAGCCAATATACAACATTTAGAAGAGCAAATGAAGTTGGAAAAAGTACTCTGGCAGCTCGATCAATATAAGACACACTGTTCACCCTTTTATGCCCCCTTGATGCTTCCCTCTGCCTTTCTCTTCGATATGTCTCATCTCCAACTAACAAACAAAAGAAAGAATTTTTATTAAAATTATGTTGATTGAAAGATTATTTTTAATAGTAGTAGAAACTAACTACTTTGATCATAGTGTACTTGGATCACTGTTAATTTTATTGATAAGTGCTCCTATCTATTGACAGAACTTTGTTAAGACTAAGTTCAATCAGTATAGCGCTCACAAAGAGAAGAGAGGTTGTACATGTGCTGTTTTCAAGTATAATGGACAAAAAAATTTATTCAGAAAGTAGTATATTTTGGCTTTACTTTTTTTGTTGTTGTACTTTGGGTTTTAGACCACATTCTTAATGAATCATGGCGTATTGGAGTGATTTTTCAGGCTATGTTTCAGTTTTATGACTAACCTAGGATGTTGAGCAGGTTCAATATGGAGCAATACCCTGTCATCTTTTTTAGATGAAAACAAAATTCATTTAAGGTGAGCAATTATCATAATCATCAAAACAAGCAATGGAAAACGCCAAGAATTTGCGAAAATACCCGAAGATTTATTTGAAGTTGGATTGGAAGGTATTATGGAAAACTGCTTTACCCCAGTGGAAATAAATGGATCATCTACATAGAACTGATGAACAGTTAAGATTTGAAGTCGAGTTTTATAGATTTAATGTTAAATGATTTAATTAACTAATTTTGAGTAAAATATAATTTTTCAATTGCTTATTAATTTTATTATAAAGTTTATATTGCGACTTCTAATGTTTATATGAAGAAAAATTTGCTCATAATTTATTACAATTATTTATTTTTCTTATAAAACCATGAAATATAATTTTTTGTATTTAACACACACTATTAGCTATTTTACAGGTACAAAATCAGTGCCAGCCTTAGGGTGGAACAACTGGGGAAATCTAGCGCCAATCTGGAGGGACGCTCGTCGGAGCGCCCGCTGACCTTCAGGGGCGCTTGCTACTAATTAGAAATTTAAAAAAAAATACAAAACATATTAAAATAATTAATGTTATAATAAAGCAACTGTATTAGAGAAATGTTTAAAGGAATACAATTCAAATATCACATTAGATAAAACAGCTTAAGCAATAAATCCAATTTTTTTTAATGGGGAGAGATGACGTCATTGCCTGGGGGTGGCAAATGTCTAAGGCCGGCACTGTACAAGATGTTAATGACCAGGACGTGAAAGTACGCTATGGCATGATCAATAGTACATTTTGGTCTTGAAATATTGATCACATGTCAATTAAATACCTTTTTTTTCTATAACTGTTTAATATTGAAATCCTAAAAAAAAAAATAATATTTAGAAACAATGGTATGGTTTTCAAAGATATATAAAAGTAAATTGTGGTCCAAGGTACAACAGTCTCTTTTAAATTATTTATTTTTTGTGTTCTATTTCTGAACATGATATTTTAGAAAATTATCCACCATAAATAAAATAAAATATTTAAATAAGAGGTATAAAAATAAAAATTAAATTCTAAAATTCTAGTCTAAAGATGGGATAGTAAAGTGATCCTGAAGCGTCACATAAAAATTGAAAAAAAAATTGTTGGAAGAGTAAAGCTGTTACTTAATTTTTATTTACATAACTCAGATAAAAATCATCTCCCTTAGGACTTATGAAAAAATATTTAAATAAGTGATAGTAGATCTCAAGAACAAGAACAAAAATAGTTCATATAAACCGTGATCTAATTTACTATAGAAAACCAGGAAATCTATGTTTTGTGTTTTTTGTTATGTCACATTTTTTTTTTATGAATGGGAAGCAGAAAATATAAAAATATTCAATTCAAGTTATTAACTATTTCACCTCTGTAAAAATGCATGTTTTGTTTATTGAATGAAAACATGTTTATTATCATAAAGTAAATAGATACAAAATATAATATTCATATAAATGTTAAAACATATAGACTATAGAAAATTCCATCTATTGAGGTCTGTGTGATATTTCTACAAAATATGTTCCATTTTATATCCTTAACAAAATAATGTGCCATAATATCTTATATATTATTTCTAAAAGATATTTTTTTGTCGCGACGCCATAACTTCGTAAATTCTTCATCAAATCCAATGATTGAGCCCTCATTTTAAAGATCTTCTTCACCTTCAGGTGAGAAAAATAGTTACACCCCCCAAAATTTAAGGAAACAAAGTTATGAAGGAAAAGAAACTTTATTTGCGAATAACTCAAAAATTATGCATTTCTATATTGTTTTGCTATTCCTTTACTAAACAAAATGTTCTGCGAATTATTCACACTGACCAATTAGTTTTTATATTATCATTTATAACATTTTAAAATTGTTTCCCAGTTCTTAACCCCTTTAAAAAGAAAAAAAAACTTTTTTTATTAAAAAAATATTTTTTTTGATTTATCATCTAATATAACAATGTACCAGCGTTTTTTTACACACATCTCATATTGTATCTATGAATTGATCCATTATGTGTTGAGTGCACAGATAAATATTCCTAAGCATAATCACATTTTCATGAAAACAATTCAAGTAATGCTGGTATTTATTTGTTTAATTAATATGTTTCTCTCAATTAAGAACATAACAGGGATAGAGGAGTTCATTCAAATCATGTAAAGGAAAATATAGTTATTATTTCTTTAAAAAAAATATTTCTATTTATCTAATATGAAAAATAAACAGAAGTAATACTTTGGATAGAACTAATCATAATTAATTTACATGTGTTATTCAAACAACGCAGTGATAGAAAACTTATAATCTATACAAATCTAATATACATACCCAAGCAGTAAAATATCTGTTTCCATCGAGGAACTTTAGTATCTGTTTGGGTTTGTCTTTCTACCATGACATTGCCAGAAGTTTGTACTTTAGGTCCCAATGATGCTAGTCCCTGAGTTAGAGAGAGTCTTTTAGGAGAATTCCCTAGTGCAGGATCCTTAAACAACATTTAGACAATTAATTGAAAAAAAATTTTATACAAAAAATAAAATGTTTCTCATTCTTTGATATTAGTGCCAATTTTACTCATAAAAAACACATTGGGATAGTATTGGAAGATTTTTACAATTGACATTTTACTATTTTCTATTCATTAGAAATTGCATGATGGGTTTAAATTAATTTAAATGTGGATTTAAAGGACAGACCAAAAGATTAATGTTTAGCCAAGAATAAAAGGATCGAGAGAATTTAAAAATATATGTATATGAAAGTTATAAATAAACTTTATCTTAACAATATTGTAAATGTATGATCACAAATTATAATTAAAATAAAAAATGATCAAATTTATGAATCATTTAGAAGTTTTTTAATTTTATTTATTCATGATATTTACAACTGTATTAATAAATAAAATACATTTAGTAAATTTGATAACAGAAAATAATAACATGAAATCACTTGTTGAGAAACTACCCACTGGTAGCACTCTAAAAACAAAATGTATTTACAATAAGAGATCTTGAGGCCATCTTCTTTTCAGAGGCCTCGGAGGGTTATCAGGAATAGAAGAGAAAGCAAGGTTAGAGACGAGAGGATTCGGATGGTTCTGAAGTTTATTATGGAAGGATTGGTATCTGGATTGGGCGAAATCGAAAACATAAGGAACATTAAGGTCATTATGGATTATTTTATTGGTGACAAAGTAAGGAGCATTGAGGATTTTCCGAAGGATTTTGGATTGTAAGGATTGGATACGAGAGGAATTCGATGGCTTAGTGGAGCTCCAAAGCTCAGCTCCGTAAGTCCAAATAGGTCTTATTGTAGTCATGTATATAAGTCGTTTGTAATTAATTGGAAGCTTAGAGCGTTTTTCTAGTAAATGTTGGAGTAGTCGGAAACATCGAGCGGTTTCTTGTCGTTTCAGTTTGGTATGAGGATTTCAAGCTAAACGTTTGTCCAAGTGAAGTTCAAGGTAACGGATTTGTTCAACAGGGATAGGTGGGGTATTATTAAAGGATATTGTGGGACATGAGGTCATAGGTTTACGTTGAAGGGTAAAGGTGATTTGATGTGATTTATTAGAATTTATTTTAATCCTCCAGTTTTGACACCATTCTTCAAGGCTTGTGATGTGTGATTGAAGAGTTTGGGATGCAATGGTTGGGTCATTATTAATGGATAGGACACATGTATCATCGGCATACGTGGTAATAACAGTGTTAGGATGGGTTGGGATGTCAGCTGTATAAACTGTGTAAAGGAGAGGAACAAGGATACTTACTACCTTGAGGAACACCAGCGGATTGGGATCATTTAGAAGTAAAGTAGAACACATTGTAGTTTTGGGACAATCAAGGTTTTTAGATTTCACTTCATTAAGGTAATTTGTCTCTTAGAGGATTTACCAAAAGATACAGTAATAGTTTGACCTTGAGCTCTGAAACTGAGAGTAAAGCATCTTCATGGCTTGACTGTCCTTGTTCCTAGTCTATTTATTTGTATTAATATTTATGATCTAGTCAAAAAACTTATAAAAGGGGTATAAAATATTTCAGCTATAATTACATTATATATAGGGCATATAAGAGAACTTTTCCTTCTTCCTCTATGAATGACTTCTAATGGTGGTGGGTCTAATGGACCTATCATTTCTATTTCATCTACATCTTCCCATTCATCCTCATCCATGGGAATTTCTCCACTTCCTACCTAAAATAAATAATTATAGATAACTTGGGCACAACTTTAAATGTTTTTATGTGAATAAATATTAGGTATTCTCGTTTACTTTAGTAAAATAATGAACTCCTGCAAATTCTAGCAGTGTAGCAATACAGTAAAAGAAGCTCATAAGTAGAAACCAATCCAAAGCTGTAGCATATCTGACTTTAGGAAGATCAGTGCGACTGTCTAGTCCAATTGTTGATAAGGTGAGCACTGTTGTAATACCTATAAAATATATCTAATATTATATTTATTAGTTTTACAAATAAGTAATTTTCTTGTGAATGAAATAATTTATAATTGTTTGCACTAATGTGGTGTTACCACCATTTGGTGGTCATTGGATTTTATTGGCTCTTTTAATATTTTTATTTTAATATCAAACTAATATAATAATCAAAGTAATTCCATGGTATATTAAGGATACACTAATATATGAGGGTTGGTAAAATTTATTATCAGCTACCTCACAAAAAATCTTTAAGAACAAAAAAATCAAAAGATAGTTCTTTTAACATTTTTATTTTAATATCAAACTAATATAATAATCAAAATATTTCCATGCTATATCAAGGATACACATGAGGGTTGGTAAAATTTATTATCAGTTACTTCACAAAAAATCTTTAAGAAAAAAAAATCAAAAGAAGCTAAAGTAGATCTTCATAATATGGATGGAAATAGATCTCTTTGTTTATGGGGTACTACTGTACAAGTGTCACTATACTTAGATGAGAGGAATTAGATCTCATAATCATACTATAAATGGGATGAGATTTCGAGAATAGCCGAAAATTGGCATGTTTACATTATATTCCCCCTTTATTTAGATCACGGTTTAGCACTTCTACCGTTTACTTGTCCATTCCACTTAAAATCGGGGCGTTGAATAGCTTGGATTACATCGCTGCTTTTGACTTCCGTTTGCTACACTTGCACAAAAGGGGAAAACAAACTCCAATAGTTCTTTTTCAGTTGATGTCAAAAACTTATAAGACGGTTTGGTCGCTTCTATAAACTTTTGGACACACTTGGCCATTTTCATGATTCTGTTTAGGCTATGAGATCTTGTGCCACCCATCAAAGTGGAGGGACACTAGTGGAGTTCCAAGCGAAATGCTTAGTGCGGATTAAACAATTTAACCCCCTTCAATGAAAAGGAATAGAATAGCAAATTGGAAGAACGAAGAAACGGTAGTTGGCTGGCGATATTTCTTAAAAAAATTCGTATTGCCGAGAGGCAAACAGGTAATAAATATAAATTATAGAAATATACCCTTTCCTATTTATATCTATATAAATAAAATAGTGTTTATATAGAGTATATAAAAAGAGCTAACAATCGTAAAGTAGATTTCAATACGTCTTTCTTAATGCTTTTGTATAAAAGAAAGAAAAATACGTGGTAGTTTATTTCAAAAAGAAACTATATTAATCCCCAACTGCTAACCGCAGACACATTTCCAGATCGATGATCTAAAGGGCTCTATGAAGGAGATAATTTTCTCTCTGATAAATTACTTGGCTTTTGTTGGGTCGGACAATTAGCCATCAGAATCTTTTCTGAGAGCTCGCGGTTTTTTAAATGAGACCACCGATTGTCTTCTAGTCCCTTCTCCCCTTCCGCTTCCTATTGAGAATATGAATTAAATATCTCGCTAAAGGTCGCTCTTAGAAATATTAATGAACCTTTGGTCATTCTAATTAAATCGGTTCCACTTCTGGGTTCTTTTAAAAGAAATTCCATCAATTCTTTGGGTGGTGGCTACAAATGCCCAGAAAAGCTTAAGTTAATGGGATGTATACAATTCTTTAAATTTTCTAATACTTTATTTAACGAAGGTGGCAAAGAAAATAACCTCTGCTTGTCACATCACTCAGAAATTTTTTATGAGAAGGAGTTAATCGGGGGATGCGGTCAAATAAATACTAAATTAAAATATAGTAATTATTTTAATTTTTGCCGACGTTTCATTTGATTCACGTCACTGCCAGTGTTTCAACTGCCTCCTGCAGTGCTACATCCTACGCCCTGAAGACGACCTGGAAAGTGGGTCGAAACGTTGGCAAAAATTAAATGATCACTATATTTTAATTTAGTATTTATTTTACCGCACCCCCCGATTAACTCCTTCTCATATTATATCAACGGTCAACCAGCTCTACATCATCAGAAATATTTGAATTTGTTTGCAATAAGTTATAGAACGCATAAGAACCATAAAGTATTTAAGAAATATGTGGTTGTGTTGTAAATTTTCTACTCCATTACCCTTTGTAAAAGTATCTGAACAGAAAAATTGGCATTTTATCTATTGGCTCGTTCATAAATCATCTGCTGCCAGTGAAGAAGGCTTCAATTTTTCTTTTTATAGTGGTAATAATTATTTTTATTTACTTTATATTAGTCTAATCTTGACTCAAGAAATAATGTGATCTTCAGCTTGGAAGTTTTAATCGTTGCAATTATGAAGACATGTATAAGAACGTCTATTTTTAATTTTTTAAAGAAGTTTGTCGAAGATGCCTTAAACTGCAGTAGGTTTAGAAATATACATTTTTTGGCTTTGGGTTTAAACTTTAATGCATAACAATCTTGGTGATATTTTAAATCGGGCTATCAAGAGGAGATTGAAAATGAATAAAACGAAAAGTGTATTCATTGTCTTTACACTAAATGACGGTTTATGGCCAGAGGTATATTTTAATAACATTCCCATTCCTATATCTGAAGAAGTTTAATCAAACGTTTTGAGAAAATTACGCACGCTCCGTTCTTGTGACAAATGAGTAGCTACACATGGACTTGGACTTCCAAACGGTGTGACAATATGTGTCAGATACTCTATCACAATACTATAAAAATTTCCACCACAGACTGATTTACAACATGAACTCAATAGCCCAAACACTTAATTCTACCACTAAACCGTACATCCCACACCGACGACATTCAAGGTGGAGGCCAAGAGAGTTTTTGTCTTAAACACTACTCTGAAATATGCACAGATTTGTTTATTACAAAACTTTGCAGATGGCTTATTTCAAGTCTGTCTACATTTATATCCGGGGACGGGCATCATCTCGAACCTTGCGGTTTGAGTCGTGTCCCTCATAGACTGCAGAGGTGCAGGCATTTTCCTGTACATCAGCAGTCTATGTAAAGCCGTAGCGACCGTAAGATTGCGGAGCCTGAGACCAATCGTGCTCTGAGGTCAGGGAAGCAGTGCTTCCCGATCAAATTGGTACTACGGGGCGTCGCTGGAGCCCTGGCGGCGCTTTGGGTGGACCGCGAGAGTGCTTGCACTGTTTGGCCGTGGCCGTGGTTTGTGTTTACGACTACTCACTGCACGACACCAGTATTCAGCTAGTCTTGACGTTGTTCAGGCTAGTCATCTGGTATAGTGTCCAGACGAGTGGACGGAAGTTATGGTAGTAGGGTGCTGTCCGTTCCGTGGGCACCGGTTGTGTGCACGCATACTCTTGGTCTTACCGAGGCCGAGGGGTTAGGTTGGAAGCTGGTTAAGGCTACGGCTAGGAACGCTTCCGACCGATGCTCCTCGGCACATAGAGCAGGGGTATACACGTTGTCACATTTATATTCAGGGACATCTGGTATAGTGTATATATGAGCGGTTGAAAGCTATGAGAGTAGGATTTTGGTCCTTTCCGTGATCACCGGTCGAGTGCTTACATCTTTTTACCTGTCCGGGCTGCGAGGCTAGGTTGGGATTGGTTAAAACCACCAGGTTATGTACGATCCCCGCCGATGCCCGCACCCCACAGCACAGATGTACCCTCCTATGTCAAATTTATATATTTTCTTAAATAAAATCGGTTCCAACTTTACAGTGTAATATTATTAAATAATAATATAAGATGTGTTTCCAACAGTTACTTGAAACCTAAAAATCGGAAAATGAAATTGCAAATTTGGGATCACTAAGAGATATCATTTTGAAGAACTGTTGATGTTTAAATTTTAAGATGAAGATGATAATTCAACAAATCATAAATTTGTTCACCTTAATCAAATTAAAGTAGGTTTTTAAAAGAATAAAGGACTAATTATGATTAGCACACTAGTATTTTATTTGTTTTTAAATCTAGGCCTATTCTTGAATATTATAAATTTTGTAGAAGGATAGACAAATAAGGCTGACATATTAGCACTTTTTTAATGTTGCAGTTGATCCAAATGTGCCAACGAACATGGAGGGCAATGCAGTGGTTGTTTTGTTTAATTTTGAAGAATAATTTTGTGATATACAAATTGCTGTATACACATTTTTTTTATTCTTGACTTATTATTTACTTTGCTTTTGGAAATATATACAGTATCAACAACTTGTTACATTCCTAAGAGGAGCTTTTCCTGCGGATGACAGGGATAAGGGCTCGCTATACAGGCTCTTTTTACCTTTGTTCTCTTACTCCCTCTGACTATGAGATTGAGTTAGTTTCAACCATTTCTCTAAAATCTTTTTTCTCGCTCTCAGTACCGATAGTTTTGGATGGATGATGTATAAAACGAAAATGAATTTCATGGAGAAGTGATGAATCTCTTTCTGATTCTCAAATTCTTATATATTTAGTAAAAGTCATTGAAAAACTTGAAAATCATATGGTTCAAAAAGGCTATATGTCCGGTATAGACAGTTCTTTGCTCTGCGTTTTTAAGCCCAAAAATGTCCCGTTTTCGTGATAATTCGTAATAATTACAGAAAGTCTGTCAGGTGTTATGGTTGACATGAGATACTCTTATCACTTTTTTTTTTGTTTGAAAAATTAAAATTTTGCTATTTATGACTTTCTTTGACAAACTAAATATCAATTGAAAAAGTAGATTGAAGAGAATGGCTTTATACTCGTAATAGACTTCCATACCAAGTGAGTGAGCTACAAACCAAGGCACTTATGCACCAAACAAGACAGAATTACAATAATATTGCATTGCTGATCAACTGTGTTGAGTTGCTAAATCAGAGAGCGTACTCAATCAATCAGCATAATAATAATAATAAGACTAAGTTGTGTTCTTTAGACCACACGATATAAGTGAAAACACGAACAAGGCGAGATTAATAATATCAAATATAAGTAATAACGGCTCATTACAAAGAAGATTACAGTATACAGATCCGATTTTTAGTATATGAAACATTTTAATCCATGTGTTTATTCCATGTGTATTTTTTCCTTTTTGGCTCCCTAATACGGTGTCACGTTAAGATAAAATTGTTAATTATGGCGGATTACAGAGAGGATGAAACACAGAACTATTTTCTTGCTTACAGTATGCAGTCCCGATTTATAGTTTCTGAGATATTTTAATCCATATGTAGAAATATTTTAATTAGTGGACTATAGCCGACTTTAATCGAGCATAAATGTCGAACGGAATCTGACGGATCAATATAATTCCATTTCCACAAAAAAGTGTAAAACGCGCCTAAAGAAGTTTTTACTTAAAAAAGAAATATATATATATATATATATATATATATATATAAGGGAGAGCTAGGCGGGGCCACTGCAACAGCTAATATGCCAAGAACAGTGTACAGGATCGAAAACGCGAAAGCCAAGATCAATCAATATATGTGGTGATGAATGATTCCCAACGAGTCTAAAATAATAGTATCTGCTTATAATGGACTGAATCTGCTTCCTTCCAACACCGAGCCTCTGCAAGAAATTACTTGTAGTAAGAGGGATGGTTCCCCTGCTTTCGATTCATAGCTCTTTAACAGAGAATTTCCTTTCGCCGATTTCAGCTCTGTAATTTTCCTTACAGTAAGTTATTCATTCCTTCTAGATACTCTCCTTCTATACCTGTACTCTAAAGTCTTGATCCTGTTCGCCCGTTTCAAATTTGATCGTGGGATCCACTATCAGTACCTCCTTTTTCATCGGCGAATCTAGTTGAGCCTTCCGTATCCAGGTAATAAACCTCGAGAAAACATCTATATTATTTATTTATTATTTAATTAATTAATTCAATTAAATTTATTTAAACATCTATATTTCTTCATTTCAAGGAATCCGGCTATTCGATGTTTTATATTATTGTGCCGTCGGGTGACAAGGAGCATGTTATTCGGACAAATGCCCGAAACATGAGCTGTAGTTTCTGACATTCGGACATATTAGTGACAGAGGGGTCCAATATCTTCGTTAGCTTCCGGTCCTGACACTCCACGGAGAGGAGCGAGGATTAACATAAATTTCATGGCCTACGTCCGTTCTGAGCTGGTGCGCACCTTTCTCTTGTAAATAAATTAATTGGCTGATAGGTTTGCTTTAAAATTGACTGCCACTTGCATTTGCTCCAGTCTTCAAAGAACTTTTCTCTCAGGAATAGTTTTACTTTACTAGCTGTCAGCGTCGGTTCCATATTACTCGCTTCAATCCCTAATAGATTCACAAACTTACTCATACTTCGTTTACGAAATTAAACATCGCCTTAAACAGGGCATCTTCTCGGGAAATGCACCAGTATAATATAAGTAAAGTATCATAAGTAATTGAATATAACAGTATAAATTCATTTATAGCTGTGTAGTCTTATCTAAATGAGCCGATTCTGGTGGTTTAGGCATGTATCTCGAATGAATGAAGACGGTGACCCACAGGAAGACCCAAATTGTCATGGACAGACTACATTTCTAAGATCGGACAGGTAAAAAGGAATGCGAATAAGAGATATGAAGGCGCTAACACAGGACCGAAAATCCTGGGAGGCATGGATCAAGGCAACTACACGCTAAAATGAACAAAAAGAGGGAGAGAAAGAAGAAGAAGAAGAATAACAGAATATCTTGATAACTTACATTGCTATTGTATATACTATATACGGATAGACATCTTTCACTAATGTGAAAGTCGGGTGCATTCAAGAGAAGGATAGTTATCTAATAGTTGTTACTGGGGTGCGCCAGCTTGATTATTTGATGAAATTAGAAATAATGAATTATTGTTTGCACATATATATATTATAACACTATTATATAATACTACTTATAATTAATATAAGGTTTCGTTTAACTATATCCGGTAATTCCATACAACTGCCGGTTGGCCTAGGCTGTCAGATTTTGCAATTCGCAGAGCTATCTACAGCGGCGTGAAACTGATACGGCTCCTCATTATCGTGTAATATAGCTCGCCCCCAATAGCTAGTTAGTTGACTAAATTAGAGCGTAACTACGACACTTCTATTGTAAATTGATGGCTTCCAGGACCAATAACCTCAGGTATAGTGTTATCTTTTCAGCATATTAGCCACAATGGCGTTACTTGGTATACGAAAGAAAGCTCAGGAGTTTCGCTTTTATATTAAATGGAGAAGTTTTTGCTTGTTTCATAGTTAATCGACCACTTTTTTAAGAGATTTTTTCATTTTCACAGACCTTACCTCTTTGATATCATAGAACCACGAGATCGCAGTATACCGACTTTTCATTCTCTATTGCACATGCCGAATTCTGACGAAGAAAAAGTGAAACTGGCTAAGAGCCAAATTCAACGGCTTCTTGTGAAATGCTGCTGATAAATGACGATCAAAAAGAGGAAGTTGGGGAAGATAAAATGATGGGCGAAAAAAAGTGCCCACAATTATATTTATTTATATACCACAGTTTAATTTATCTACAAATCTCCCTGTGTAAGTTCACACATTTGTTTATTTTTTCTTTCTTCTACCGTCGTCACTCAATTCTAGGCAATGTAATTTTTATCATGTTTTCAACTGCCTGAATCAACTGCCAATATTTTGAATGGTACCGTACAAGCATAAAATATTAAAAAAAAAAAAACACTTACAGACTATTCAAATTTTCCAATCGAAATTTCTCCGTTATATAACTCATTGTCCCTTCTACATAACCAATAAATCACTTCATAAAGACCTACAAACACCACAAGTGACTGATGTAATTAAAAAATTTTACAAAAATTTTCATGACTCCCTAGCTGGACATCCTAATCCACTTGTACAAACATTAATAACAGACACACTACCACAGAATCCACCAAGGAGACTCAAACGCCTCTGATGCAGGGATCTGCTGCGTTAAGAGTCACGTTAGGAGTGCCTTCAGTGGAAGGCTTCTCCAATCATGCATTCAACCTAATCCCGAAGAGGAGGTTCGCTAACGAACATCACATTTACAAAATATGCCAAAAGGCATTTGTAAAATTGCTCACTAAATAAATTTATTATTATTATTATTATTATTATATATTTATATTGACAAATGCCTAACAATAAATAACTTCACTGTTATTATTATTGGCGCGTTGTATTCTTTTAACTATTAACTATATTAACTTCTGTTAAGCCTCATTTACACATTACCCAAACCATAGATAAGATTATGGTTTAAAAATATATTTCTACTTGGCTCGTGGACGTTTTTCCATGATTGTGGACAATCCGTCAACATAAAAGTAGACAGCTAATCAGAGTTTGCTGAAAGCGACACATAATGCTAATGCAACTCGATAATTGCTCTTATGCTCTTTTTTTTTTTTTTTGCAGTGGTTTTTTGTTTCCAAAATAAAAGGATTTTATAGCAAATTAAAATATTTCTGTGTAACATAAGAAAGTTAACAGATCTGTTGGTTAGTTGAAGTAGCAGTAGTTTCTAGGAGTTTTCTGCAATGGATAGTGTAATGATTTAGGAAGTTTGTTTAACTAGTCTCTAAATTTTAAAAATAAATTTAAGGGTATAAGTCAAGCATAATATATGCACAATATTAAGAAAATAATGCCTGTTTGTTCCATTCGTTGAGTGCATAGCTGAAACTAGCTGAAACTCTCTATTATTGCTGGGGTGTTTAGTAGCAATATGTTTAATTTAAACAGTTTCTTTAAATAAACAGATATAGTAAACTGTATCACTCGAAATTAAACATATTCAAGGTTTACCTTCCATTAGGAAGTGACAGGTTCTTACAATAAGCGCTGAACTCATCGATACACCGATACCGACAGCTTTCCGAAACAGATACAGAAGCTGTTTAATTTAAACAGAAACAGAAACGTGTTTCACTAAACAGCTTCTTGCAACAGATACATAAAAAGTTTTCTGAAACAGATACAGAAAAAGTCCTCTGAAATAGATATAGCCCTTTAAAACAGATCGACTGTATTTTTAACTGTTTTAATAGTTGTATCAAACTCCACCGGCTTTAGCACCATTGAGGCGCAGGAATTTGGGTTCCCCGCCTGATTGTATATAGGTATGACTGTATTTTTATGTTTTTAATTTACTTATATTTAGGTTATTTTATTTTTTATTGTATATAGTTTTTATTTATTATTATTTAGTTATTATTTTACTTTTGTTAATTTTTTTTTTTTTTTGTATATACGGTGTGAATGTGTTCATTTATCAATATAATTATTGTCCCCGTGACAGAATATTATATGTCTAAATAAATAAATAAAAAAAAAATAAAAAAAATAGTTGTATCAATGAAATACATGCCATTGCACCTTAGAAGAGCTTTGCAGTTTCTGCCCAATGAACAGTTTCATCAACTCATTTTCCTATCTAATGAGTATTTAACTATTTCCTCGTTATTTTCATCAATAAATTAACTTATTATCTTTACAATATGTTATGGTACGGTATTAATTTAACAATTAAATTTATAATTAGTTTTGAGATAAACAGAGAATTATTTTCATGTATTTTAAAATATTGTAAAGGTAAGATATGACTTTTTTTTTTTTTCTCAAGTTTGGAAACACTTGTATTTGTTTTTTTTGAAACTGTTTTCAGAAAGTAGCAGAAGCTGTTGCAACTACTACTCATGATAAACAGTTTTGCCCATCACTACTCTCCTATTAGAGCCCATTCTACTTTATGACCATGATAGGAGTATTTCCATTTCGAATAATTTACTTATAATGGGAAGAAAGATAATTATTCTTGTACGTGTGTTAGTAGTTGAATATTTGGAAATGTTAAACAAATATTTGGTTGAAGTGATGTGAACAATTCCAAATACACTTTCTATAAGAGATGAAAAACATTTTTTTATTAATATTTATGAAATTTACAACCGTGCAATTAAGATACATTCAGCAGATGTGATACGAAGAAATAAATGACATGAAAAGGGTTGTAAAGAATCTACCCATTGGTAGCACTCTAGTAAAGTTTCTAAAATAGGAGATCACGAGGACATCTTCTTTTAAGACGCCTAGGAAGGTTATCAGAGATCGAGGAGGAAGAAAGGTTAAAAACGAGAGTATTAGGATGGTTCTGCAGGTTATTATAGAAGGATAGGTATCTGGATTGGGCCAAATCTGATCATATGGAACATTCAGGTCATTATGGATTATTTTATTTGTCACAAAGTAAGGAGAATTAAGGATTTTGAGAATGTTTTTGGATTGTAAAGATTCGATACGAGAGGAAGAAAAGCAATTTAAAAATATCTTTGAAAAATAACAAAATCCAATCGGCTTTCTAGGCCTCAGATTTAAGCAAAGTTTGTTCTGTGCATTGCGGTTTGTTGAAGGTAAGTACCTTATAATCAAACAAAATGAATCAAATAGCTGTTTGCATTTTACAGGGTGTATTTTCCATTAAGTTCATCTTCTTGAGATATTATTTTTAACGGCAGCGGCTCACACCGTTCTGTTTAAGTTATAAATAAAATTTAACTTTATCCTTAAATTACAAGTTTGACTGTTCTTGTCAGTTTTGAAAACCAGTGTATTTCCTTTATCTTATTATGCTTACGCTGTTTAGTGTAATGCTATGGCAGCTTGTTCAACGTGAGACATTGAAGTAATAAAATGAACATTTGTATGACATGAATATTTGTCAAAAAAATAGAAATAAAATTACTTTTAAATTTTATTTTATTATATTTACGTAGAATGAGATACGGTACATAGTGGTTCAATTTTTCTTACAATTTATTTATTTTAAATATTGGAAAACCTTCTCAGGTCCTAAAACTTTTAAATGAATGTATTTTTAATTTTCTCTTAATTAATTTATTAATCCCATCTCAAAATATAGTTTTTTGATTCTATTATTTTTTCATGTTATGTGAAGAATTGAGTCTTTAGTTTGCTTGATAAGTAAGAAAATAAAGTATTAATTTATAATGTGATCAGCAATAAAAAGTTTTGAATGTAACCTGGGGGAAACATAGTGACAATGACATTTACTGAATTTAGAGTAGTACTTACACAATCCAACGCGGTCTGAGGTCGCCTCTCGATGGATCCAAAATGACACCCAGGAGAGGACTACAATGAGGATGCAGGGGACGTAGACTTGTATTAAGAAGTAACCGGTATGTCGGCGAAGGTTGAAATTAACTTGGAGGAGAGAGAATTCTCCTGGAAATAAGAAAGGAGTGAGTTAAAGTTCAAAGAATTACTATTTCTATGGTAATTCTTTTTTTCATTACTAATCTGCTTTTATGGATTCATTATCTTTAACTTAAACTTAACATAATGGATTCATTATAACTTAACAGATTAATTGTTAACAATTGAAGGTTCAAAATCTATTTTTTTTTTAAATTCTCAATGATGTGTTCTTCTTGAATGAGCAGTCCTTTAGCCTATTTAGGAGCCCCTTTGCATGAACAGACAGGTAAAAAACGTTCGATCTTACTATCCTAACAAACTTTTTATTTTCTACAAAATTGATATCTAATGCTCAATCGAAAAAGGAGCCATATATACAAATGCGTTTTAATTCTATTTCTTTGTAATTATAAGGAGAGATAATCACTAAGAAGAGACTGACTTAATCGTCTTTACATTTTCTAGGGGTGTCCAACACATTGCTTGGGTAAAACGTATGGTAATCGGTAACTTTTGATGTGGCTCTTCTATCAATTCCGAAAAAAATATTAAATAAATATGTAAAATGTAGTATATAATCCAAACACGAGGTTACTACAACATTTATGACACGAGTTATTTATAGCATTTCCAAGTAAATTTCAACTTTTTCCAAATCAAATTCAACCTTTTCCAAGTCAAATTAAACCTTTTCCATTTCAAATTCAACCTTTTCCAAGTCAAATTCATATTATCGAATTTACTGCTCCAGAAACATAAAATTAGACCTTTATATTTGATAAATTCGAAATACTTAAATAAGTTGAAACGCAGTGGCGTAATCATAAAATAAAGGTCATTTTCAGAATCTACGGTTCCGAAAACATAAAAGTAGACCTTTAAATTGGATAAATTCGAAAAACTTAAATAAGTCGAAACGCGGTGGCCTAATCTTAAAATGGAGTTCGTTTTCAAAATTTACTTATCGGGAAACATAAAAATACACCCTTATATCGAATAAATAAAAAAAAATTAAATAATTCGAAACTCAGTCACGTAATCTTAAAATGGAGGTTATTTTCAAAAATTACTCACACGATAACAGACGCACACATCGAAAAATTAAAGATAATTAAATAAATAAAAACAGGTTGAATTTGAAATGGAAAAGGTTGAATTTGAAATGGAAAAGGTTGAATTTGACTTGGAAAAAATTTAATTTGATTTGGAAAAGGTTGAATTTGACTTGGAAATGCTAAATCTTATAAAGTTCATATCACAACTGAAAATTCATTTCTAGAACAAACTTTTTTTTTTACCCCATTCCACGGTTCGCGGGACTTATTGAAGGTCTCCATGCTGCCTGTGGGGCTTAGTTGAGGTATCAATGTGGGCAATGGGCCAAAATGTTTAGAGATCCTTGTTCTAGAACATACCAGATGATCGTTTGAAAGATTAATAAATTTTCTACAACGTCAAGCTTACGTAAATAAAAAAGTAAAGGAATCTTAATGGGACCGATAGTTCCTTTAATAACGAATAACGTTTAATAAAGAACTGTATTTGTATTCGATATGCAACAGTATACTGCAAAAACTTGCACCACAGACCAACTTCATCATGAACCATTTAGCACGAACACTTACATCCCACACCAACGATTTTCGACGTCAACTGTTGCCATGTTACCCAGTCACCGGATGATCACAAATTACTTTCTCAAAAACTTTTTTATCGTAATTATTTAATCTTCTTTGCACCAAACAGAATTTTTGATCATTATCTAACCTTATTAAAGACAATACGTCAGTAAGGAAATATTAGACACGCTTAGCTGAACAACCAAATATTACTTAAGCATTTTAGTAATAAACAGAAGTATTCAAAAAGAAATTCACTGAAAAGAAAACTAATAGTAAATAATCATTATAATCATTTAATGGCTTACCCTCTCTCCTTTTTAAAGTAAGGTTTCTCTGAGGACTTTCTAGCAAATCAAACTGTGACAGAGCCATTCCTGATTCGAAACTGACACTCTTTCCTGATTGCCACTGGTAGACGAGTTGTCTGCTTGGATATGCGTCTGTAAGATGAAATTATATATATTATATATGTATTTGAAGTGAAGACTAATATTAGTAAAGTTGTAGGAGTTTAACTTCAGAAAAAATTGATCAAGAAAATTGTGGATAGTAATTGAAAAAATAAATTAAACAGCCATATTTACAATAAATCATCATAAAACCAACCAGTTTCTAAAATAATTCTTTTATTCTTTATTTAAAGACGAGAATTTTTGAAATATATAAAAAAAAAAAAATCAATCAAATAGAAAAGAGTGGATACGCTCTCAACAGTTTTGTCCATTATTACATTATACATTATTAAACATCCTTTCTATATCTAGTTTTTTACATAGTTGATATAAAATATTTGTAGATTTAATTATTACATAAAAAATGGATCTATTTTTTTTTTTAATAGAGTAGTTGGAGGTATACGCCTGCCTCGGTGTTCCCTCGCCTGATTGTATCTAGTGTACATAGGTATGTATGTTTTTTTTTTAATTTACTTTTAATTTTATTTATTTTATATACCTTTTGATGGTTATTTTGTTTGTGTTTATTTTATTTGTATGTTTGTAAATATAGTGTGAATGTGATCTTACCTCCACGGTCCAAGTTACAGAATGTTATATTATCCAATAAATAAATAAATTACTAATTAGTAATGAAAAATTGATAACTTAATAATCATTTACCAGTACGAAAACATAGCCTCATTTTATTTTTAATTTTTATTAAAAGACATGGCTCTTATATCATTGATTTTGATGAAAAATTTAAATTTTACAAATACAAAGAAGTTTGATTGCAATCTCTAGCGTGAAGATCAAGTATTTACTAAGGCTTAAGATATTTTTAGCAGTTTATCCTTAAAGTAACGACATTGAAAATTATTATTAGCAAGGAATATTTGTATTAAAAGTATTTATTTCATCGTTTGTTCTTTATGAATATCAGTAGAAAGGGAAGATTAATGTTTATATTTATTTCATTACCAGGTTATCTAACTTAGAAGTATTTTACGGTTCATTCTAAAGAAATGTTAAAAAAAAATATGGAGAAATTTCGTACATCTCTCAGATGTAATCTTGAGTATTCTAAGAATAAAAGCTTTGCCCTGTTCTTGAAAAGAACAAATAGAGTTTATGGTCGAGATCTTTTAAAAAGTGACAGTATCTTTAATTTCAATTCTAACTTCGGGGCGTTTTGTCTTTATATACCAAGGCGGAAGGCAGGGGCCTTATTTCGACCTCAAAAGAAATCCTTAAGAGAGCAACCCGAAGAAAAAAAAATTCTTGAAATGCTGATATGTGCATTATAACTAATAATATTGGAGATAGGGCTTTAAGTGAGATCGTCTTGTTTTCAAGATAACCACTGGTGAATTACTTTCAATGGTTAATTAGAAGTCCAATATTTATAATTATACTCGAATCGTATGCGTCATTAAAGCCTGATTTATTTACAAACATATTGTTTTATATTATCTTGAACATGATATTACCACGAAGCGTATATCATCATAGCTAACGTTGAATTATTATGACTTCAAGGTTTTTTTGTCTGATCCCGATTTTTCTTTTTTCTTCTTTTTTTTGTGATTTTTAAAAGAAAAAAAATTCCAAGGATTTTATTTAGTAATAGAGTTTTTGATTTATTGTAAAAGTTTAACTTTTATTTATTTTAGTCTTAATAAGTAATGATCTATGTGGAATAAACAGTAATGGGGATTAGAATACTAATATAGTTTATCTTTAATGAATTACTTGATTCTTTGATTGAGCAACTAAGAATGTATTATTCAATCACCATATTCATTAATTGACATTGACATGGCAAATTGGTTTAACAGAAATTTGAAATATATATATGTATTTTATAAAAGATCTGTAAAGCCTTTACATGGTAAGTTGTTCCGGAAACAGTCCTGGCTCCTAAATAAAAGCGAAAACAACGGAGATTAAATATTTTGATTATTTATAAAAGTTAAATTTTCGAAGTAAGCACTGGTTAGTTCTAAAATATTTCTGAATTTCATGAAGAAGTATCCCCATGGGGAGAGATGAAGCTTACTTACAACTTCCAAGAATTAGAGGACATGATTGACGATCCATGGGAAAATTGTGTAATTCCATTGGGCATTTCGCTTTTATTGTCAACCTGAAAAAAAAAAAAAAAATAAAGCTACAATATTTAATAAAAAATGTATAGAATAAAACTGAATGCCGTAATCGAAAATAATAATTATGATATTATTTACGAAATATTCCTGTTATGAACTTTAATGTTAAAAATATGTAAAACAAGAAAAATAAATTTGCAACCAAATTTAATTTTGAAAAGAATAATGAAATATTTTTGTATAAGGCACACTCCAAGGCTAATCATTCATTTTATTATTATTCCGGAATAACTGGATTCCTAAATCATACCCCTGTTTTCAAGCTCATTCTTTCTTGCCTGTCGTCTCCACTTTCGTCAATTCTTGGCTGCCAGTGCTTAGTCACTTTATTTACTAATGGATTACTACAGTTTACACTTAATTTATTTTCTTCGATCACCTATGAAATATTTTTTCTTTCAATATTTCAGAGACAGTTCTCGACTTGAGCCCTCGGTTCAAGTCGTCCCTCATCGACTGCGGATGTGCAGGCCCCCTCTTGCATTATCGGCAGCTGATGTAAAGCCGTAGCGATCGCAATGATCGCGGAGCCTGAGAACAATCCTGCTCCTAACTCAGGTAAGATAAGCTTACCTGATCAAATTGGTGCTACGGGCCGTCGTTGGAGTCCTGTTACGCTTTGGGTGGACTGCGAGAGTGCATGCACTCCTTGGTCGTGGCGGTCGTGTGTTTGCGACTGCTCGCTGTACGATACCAGTGTTCAGTTGGTTGTGACTGAGTCCCGGCCAGTCATCTGGTTTCAGTATGGAAAGTTATAATAGTAGAGCCGGCCCTCTGCATGAACACCGGTTGTGTGCTTACATCTTAAAGCCTATCCGTGGTGTGAGGCTAGCCTGGGATTGGTTAAGACCTTCGGGTTAGGTACAACCCCAGTCGATGTCCGCACCACATATAATAGTCGTATACGATGTGCATTTCAATATTAATATTTGGCACTACTGACGCTTTATTTTACATTATAATCAATAATTATTATTTTTTAGAACCCTAGAGGTGCATTAAAAAAATAGAATGAGTTGCACTCAAAAGTTAATTGTAACGTTAATCTGGAATTTCGCCACCCTAATTGATAGGAGGTTTAAGTATTTTGGCCACTCAGTATTTCTTTGTACTGACTTAACCTACTAAAAAATGTTTACGAATCTTTAAGCTACAATTTGACAAATTTTGTTCGAATAAAAAATATATAATAATGGAAGAAAAACGATTTTTAATTCAGACATTTTAATAATGATTAATTAATTGTTTATTAATTAAAAACGAACGATTAGTATTTTTTCGTGCAACGTAAAAAAATATTTATAATGATGTAGAGATGGTTGACCTTTGATATAATATAAGAAGGAGTTGATACTTAAACAATCACAACATAGACTGTTGTGAAGAAAATTAAAAAAAAAAATAAATAAATAAAAAATGTGAGCCTAAATGTATTATTATTATTATTATTATTGTTATTTTTTCAAACTTGTTTTCAAAGACCTTTTAAACCCTATTTTCTGCAGTTCATCTATTGTTCTTCCAGAGCAATTAGGACTAACTAAAAAAAAATGAAATAACCTAATGAAATCTTCAATTCACTAATGGTATTAAGTAAATTTAAGGTATACATTTGAAATGACTATCGATATCCTGTTTTAGAAAATTTATTAGTTTAGTTCTTTTGTTTATATCCATTTAATTTTAGTTTTATTATTTTCTGTATTATTTATTTTTACTTATTGTAAATAGAGTGTAAATACATAGAGTGTGCTCTCTGAATACTATTACAAATGTCCTTAATTGTGATTATAATATTTCTGAATGAATAATAAAAATTGCATAAAAGATACAATATAGGAACATCACAGAAATTACAAGATATGTTTAACTTAACCACTATTTATTATATACTTAATTTAAATCTCCTTTATTTAATCTCATTCTCTATCCATTTTAGTTTATTACGTAATTTGTTAAATCAAATTTGAAAACAGAGCTCTTGGGCTGTAGATAACTTAGTGAAACTATTTTCTACGTTTAAAAGGATTTTTATTTTAAAGTATTTAAATTAATAGTGTAAATAGGTATGCATGCGTCGAAGATGTTTATTTTTTTTACTTTTTTTTCTTAATTCTATTTTATTCATTTATTTTAATTTTATTATTACTATTATTTATATTTTCATCCTTCATTATGATATTTTATTTTTTATTATTTCGCTGTATATTATTTTAAAATTACATTACTTATTATTTGATTTTGGAAATATGGTGTGAATGTGCTCTCTGAACTCTATTATAAATGTCCTTTATTGAGACAGATTGTAATATTATCAATAAACAAGTAATCCATTGAATAATAAAAAATGTATTTAAATGACTTAATGTATGGATGAATATGATCGAAATTAACAACTACGTATCCTTACGTCTAATCGACCAAAAATGGACTTAGTGACTTTTTGCAATAAACTGACAATATCAGAAATGGAATTAATTTGGTTTTAAATGATACAAGGCTTATACTTCGTGGTATTGCTTACGTCTGTCATAATTTTTAGGTCAAAATCCGACAATTGGTATTATGGAGCAGTGCTGTTATTTATTTTACTATATATTACATATTTTGAATGATTTATTTAATCTTTTGATGAGTAAATTTACTACCTTAAAATTAATAAGAAAGAATAAACTCATTCATAAAAATGAAGTTTAGCCAGAAATTCGGTACGAATTATATCCCTTTTCCTTCGGTGCCAATATATTTTTTTTTTATGCGAATTTTACTTATTGGATCAAGATGCCTACAGTATCTTGGTAACCTACAGCAAACACTTAGATGGAGGGCTTGCTTACCTCATGGAGTACAGAATATCCCCTTCCTGAGAGATCCTCAGCAGCTTGTTGGGGACTGTTATCGTGTGTACGTAGGAGTGTTTGCCGTTGTAGAAGTAGGTGTCCGGCCGCCAGATCCTCTCCAACATCTTTATACTTAGGCTTAGGCTCTTTATAGGGCCTAAGAAGCTGAGTCGGGTGTCCCGCCAGTATTGCCTGAAGTAGCAGTCCATCGAATAATCCTGAACCAATAAATATTAGTGGAGAATTCCCATAGAAGATAAAATAATTTTTATTTTTTATGCACTAAAACATTTAAAAAAATCTTTAACGTCTTATCTAAAATGTGAAGAATTATCTTTATTAATTTTGAAGTTTAAACTGTTACTTATGAGTGTGAAAAACTTAGATTCTATGTTTTTTAGATATTGAAAATTACTATTAATGCTACCAATCAATAGTTCCTTTGCTTTTGAAGATTGAAAGATTCCCTATCTATTCAATCGAAAATTACTAAGTCCATTAAACAAACCATACACTGAAGTCCTTTAAACATTTATGTAAATACCGCCTTTACATAACCATTTTTGATATATTGCACAATGTATGGGGATGGGATATCGAAGGCCTAATATTGATATTGTCTTCGTTATTAATAGCGGCCTATAAATAACGATATCATCAAAATATCGATAGTCGATATTTTCATTGATATTATAAACAATTGTGAAATATCAATATAAATGCTGATTCTATAGCACATAGGTTAATAAAAAATACGTTACTTTATTTATTTAAATTAATGAAATGAAATAGCCTTTATTATGCAAAATAAGTAGTTACATAAGTACAAATGGTTTTTATTTTTATAACTATTAATATAAAATAGCATGCATATCTACATGGATACGCACACACACATACACTATTATACACTTCTTCTTCTATGTCTTTTTTCCTGCACAGGCCTTCCCGTGAGGCCCTTCTCTGGGATTTATTTAAATTAAATAATGAAAATATCAATTCATTTACTCTCCTTGGTAAAATTAATTTTCTACTTCCTGTCCATATTCGTCATCCTCAGTTTTCCCCCGAAATTTAAAATTCAACCAAAAATGTCTTCCATTCATCCATAGATCGGATTCATCGAAATGCTGATTTATTTGCATCCCACATAGATTTCTTTGACGATTCGTGGCCTTGGTTTGACAAGATTCTAACTAACGAATTTGGACAAATTGGGTTTACTGAGTGAGAAGGGCTCACTCTACTTAGGGATGGCATCGATAGTCGATATTATCGAAATATCCTATTTTCCTCTACTATGCACTACATTCTATATGAAACAGGCAAGATGAGATGAGTATATTACGTTGATAGTATGCATGATTACGTTGGTATATATAAGATGAGTATATATGAGTAAAGTACGTTTGAATATTCCTTTATTGCCCGATCCACTGCCTTCTGGAATTCCTTGCCATCTGTTATCCGCTATGACTCCTCCTTGTCCTCATTTAAATATTATCGAAAACGAGAGTTTTAATATTTATTTTAAAATAAAATATTAAAATGTCGAAGAGACGATATTGATAGAAGATAGTAGCGAAGTAGATACTATGGATGGTGAAATATCGAATATCGAGGTAGAAACACAACCTTTCGCATCAGCTGATCCAGTGCCTTCCGCATCGAATTTGTAAAATTGTAAAATGCTCGATCCTCTGGTATAGTTTTTACAGAAAAGAGGGATGAAGAAACTGTAATAATAAAATATAAATTATTAAACATAAAAAGTATGGCCCATGATATATGCGGGGTTGCCTAGCGAGTTAACGCGCGCACACAACACTCATTGTTCGGCAAGCTAATAAAGTTAAAATGATACAATAATTACGAGTTCACCATCCCGGTGCTGGGAGTGCATATAACAATAAATAAATAAAAACAGGAATTTCATTACTTTTATTTATGAATTTTGTTTTAAACAGATAAAACTCTCACCATATCCAGCTCTGATACAGGTCCCATGCTCCTTATCAATATATTGGTTTTTATAATGGTTGGCTCTCCTGAAAAAGGGAAATATTTATTGAGATCCAATATTGAAGTACTTGGTGTACACTTAAACAAGTTTATATTTGAACAATATTTGCTAATAGTGGTTTTATAACTGAACGTCTCAGTTAATCAATGTATATTTAGATAGCATCAATAAAAATGCTTCATAGTTTGGTGTAGAGATCGTTGATATAAACACCAATCTAGTCAATATTAAAAAGGAATTAGTTAATGAATAAAAACTTATAAATATGCTACATCTTCTGCTGATGGCTTATGATAAGTAAATCAGTTATAAATTTATATAAAGATATAGGCATCTTCCTATTCGATCGAGAAATAAGTGTAATTTTAAGTGCAGCTACCGATTTCTGGAAATATTGAAATAGACATGAGGTAGAAATACTTCAAAATTTCCCAGAGATATTTTATATCGTGAAAGGAAATCAACGTTTGACAGTGCTCCTGCGATATCGGCGCCATTTTTCTGCTTTCAATTTCCTCGATCATGAGAACAAATAAATTTTCCAACAGGGCAAATATAATACAGCAGAACGAGCCATTCTTCTTATTCATATTACGCACTCTACCGAAAGCCACCGTTTCAATCTTTTCTTTATTTCAATCCGAACAACTACAATTCATAAACGATTGATGGAAGTTAATAGTATTTTTATAATTAATAATCATATATCTTCCACATCGGAAAGGCAATAAGAAGTAATTTAAACATGGTTATTCAATATATAAGCTTTCATGAGAAATGTAAAACATATTTGAGGGGATTTATTATGAAAATTTAGAGAGAGAAAACATGAATAATGTGAGTGAATATGGTTTGGAATCCTTGGCTATGTGAAATGGTTTAGTATAGTCGGCTCATAGATAGAAGTGATAGGAAGTGATAGCTTTTATTTTGAAAAGTAAAGTTAATAGGTAGGTGAGTTGATATTAATTTTTAAATATGATAGAGACCTTAATGTTCCATATGTTTCCGATTTGGCCCAATCCAGATACCTATCCTTCCATTACAAACTGCAGAACCATCCGAATCCTCTCGTTTAGAACCTTGCTTCCTCCTCGATCCCTGATAACCATCCGAGGCGTCTGAAAAGAAGATGGCCTTCTAATATAGAACTTTAATTTGAGTTCTACCAATGGGTACTTTCTCTTCATATTGTACATGTCATGTAACCAATGTCACATTTACTTTTTGTATTTCTCATGTAATACACTTATGGCAATAGTAATTCAATTTAAATTAGAATGAAATTGTACAGAGGATAGAAAAATATTGATTTTTAGTCCTTAGAAAAGGTAATAAAATATTTATAAGGATACATCAATTATTATTTTACGAAACCGGGTACGAATCTCCGATCAGACCTAAATTTAAATTATATTGACTTAAAACCTATAATACAAGTATTACATGACAACTCTTACTTATTGCAATGGTTACCTTAATTTATTTTCTATATGTTTATCATAAAGCTTTTGTTTTTTTCATCTCGCATTACGAACTGAATTTGTTTGTAGACTCTTTGTAATTTTATATTTAGGCTCCATTAAGATTGTGAATGCCTAAGTAAGAGACTGGGAAGTGCAAGGAAAAAGTTTCATGAGACAAAACTATTATCGTATTGAAAATATCGTAACGGGTATTCATTTATAAAAGTTTATATTACACAAAGCGATTTAATTTTTTAGTTATGGATTTTCTTGGATTTATCTTGAATTTTCTTAGATATTATTAAGTCTTCTAGTGATCAGAGTAGACCGACAATTGTACTTTTTGTATGCATCTATAGTTAGCCAAAAAAGTAATTGCTTGTCTCTGCTGCAAAACTAAGATTTTGTAATAAACAAGTTTAAGACCAGATAAATTATTTTACTTTTATATTTTTATTCTTATATTTGTTTCAGGCATCAATATAAATATTGTGTTTATGATTAAACATTTTAAAAAAAATATTTGTATATTAATATCGCAATGAATAAAAATCAAATAGAAACATATTGGGCCAGGAAAGAAAAATGCAGTGATCTCATATTAAATTATTACTTTAACCACCCTAATAATCAGATTATAAATACTGCTGTTAATCGGAAAAATAAACCGATAAAACTAACGGACACCAAATATATGAAGAAGGTTAAAAACAATAAATACAATATTTTGGTAAATATTTTTTATTCATATAAATTTGTCGATGGTAATACGAAATATTTTTAATGTATGGCTATTTATACTTATTTAAATATTTTTAAATATCAAAATTAATTTTCATTTATATTTTTTATGATTAAAGTTTTTTGCCAACTGAATAGAGAAATTCCTTTTTTTTTTAATTTTTTATGAGTGGATATTTTTTTTTACAAATTTTCTTTCGTTGTAAATATGTTTGATAACATAATGCTTCTTGGCCTGAAATTATCTTCTTCTTTTTTTTGTAGACGACTGTTATTCTTAAGGAACATTGTCGCAGTATATATTATATTTATTTTTCTTATAAATTCATAAATATATAAAATAAATATATAAAAATTCACAAAAATATAAAACTTAGCGTTCTATTATTTTCTAAGGGGACATCTGTTTTTAATAACGAATCAAAATGAACTGATTTAGCTTTGGATGATCTGTAGCTTCGGATTTGAGTTGAGAAATTTGATTCGAGTCCTGTCCTGTGGTTTAGTTGTTGCGTCATTATCCGAAAACCGTTGAGACCGTCCGTCCCAATTCCTCGACACCGCCTGGGATTTAGCAGTTAATGGAACCGACCCACTCTATCTCGAGGGACATGGTGCTTAGTTAATTGGCAAAAGATGTAGCAAATCCTAATAACCGAAACATTGACTAAGGTGGAGTATTTATTGGGTCGTTAGTTGAAAGTATCAGTAAAGGCCGAAGAAAATTAAATTATTGATATGTTAAAAAATAGTGTAGAAAATGATATTTGTGGAACTAAACAGTATTTTAAATTGCTTTTGTGATATAATTTTTATACTCGGATCATTTTTACAATTGATATGAATTCATATCTCAACGATATTGTAGCTTCTTTATAAATTATCTCAGCATTAATTACTATTCGTAACCAAACACATGGCTATGGAGTTGTATATGCATAACACGGGCGGATCTACGGAGGGGAGAGGGGGCTTTCGGGCTGAAGCCCCCCAAAATGGTAAAATATAACCATGTTTTATGGAAAAATATATTAAAAAACTATCTCTTAAAGTATTATTGTTCATGTAATTACATTTAAAAGGACTTAAGGAATAACTTAAACACCATTCCATATAGATAGTTAATTTCTTTCTTTTTTTCTAAAATAATTATCGTCATTTTTATAAAAGAAAAAGCTTTCGGGTTGCAGCCCCTCTCCCCTCCCCAAAATTAAATCCTGGATCCGCTAATGATGCATAACATATTATTTTAAGGGGATCAGGCATTCCTATATAAAATATACTTTCATTCTATCATTACAATTTCTTGTATGTTGAAAAATATCACTGTGAACTAGAGGCTTTGAGTTCAATTATTTTCATCTTAGAGGTCAACTTGTTCTCTCAGTTAAATTAAAATTCGAATCGTCAATATTTATTTCATTCAGTTTTCCGATTGCACTAGTTGCCAACTAAGACGACGAACAAGATTTTCTATTTAAAAGTTGAGATTCCGTCGATACAAAAATTTGCTCAGAAAACATTTTCAATGTAAAGTTTTGTCACTTTGACTTTATACAGGAAAAAAAAAATGTCTACAGCATATGTACTCAAATAGGTCCTATTTAACTAAAAATTAATGGAGGTGGTACAACTCGTATCTTTTTGAGCCACTCCACTTACCGAATAAATTCATAAAATAAATATTCCACATTTTTTTTTGTTATTTTATTTGTATTTTTTACAACCTCCCACAAGAATAAGCAATGTATTGCTAAAGTTGTTCTAGAACTTATATGACATTCTTTGACAAAAAAAAAAAATAATAATAAAATAAACTAGTCCAGTTTTTCATCTTTTTGAACTTCGAAAGAAACCAGATGACCTTTTCGAGTGGCAGCTGGAAGTGCTAAGTGACGTTATCGAGTTTCATGTTCCAGTTTCATTTCAGCACTTGTAGTTGGGTAGTGCGAGTATAATAGCATCGCATGTTGTATTCTAACATTATTCTTTCAACAAAATAATATTCGATCGGAATAATAACCACTACGACGGAAGTTTTTATTTTTTTGGGGGTAGAATATTATGAACGTAAACCTTTGTATTTAATTTTTTTTTTTTAATTTCATAGGTATGCATGTGTTTTTTTTTCTTAGTTTTGATTTTCTTATTTTTTAGGTTATTTTATTTTATTATCTATTGTATATACTTTTGATTATTATTTTGTTCTATTTATTTTATTATTTTGTACATATAGTGTGAATGTCATCCTACCTCACTATAATCAATGTACAAGAGACAGATTGTTATAATACTCAATAAAGAAATTTAAAATTTTTTTTATTAAATTCAGTTAACATTAGATGAAATATTTTGTACATATAATTCATTTGTTTTTCAAATATTCAAGAATGATCATTAGAAATTATGGAAATATTGTAAAGCTTGATCAAATGAAAGTTCAATATCAAATGGTTTTTAAAAATATACACAAAAAATATTATATTTAAATGACATACATACATTGTATGTTCTAGTTTCGTAACTTATTTTTATATCAATGATGTTGTGAAAGATATGGATCATTAATGGGAGGCTAATGTTTCATTACTGCTTCTTTGAAAGTAAAATATATGAAAAAAAATGAGTATTGCCCTGGGACAAAGTCCCATAAGAATAAAATTAACATAACACTACATGTTAGCCAAATCATTGATTTATTTATTTGTAATATGTTCAAGCCGGATAAAAAAGTAATTGTGCGAAAATTAAGGAAACGATGACTTAACCAGTAAAGGTGGTGAGATGACTATTTTTGAAATGAGGTTTTAATAACAGGTCTTTTTAAAGATTTGAACTGTGAATGATGTTACCTTTTCCATGGGTAGGCGTTTGGGAACTCTCATAATTCTTCAAGAGGTTTTCCAACACCATTGTGATGTTCTTGGACACAACGTCGTTGGCTATTGCAGCTTTGAGCTCTCCCGCTAAAGCTGCGAGCAGTAAGGCTCTGAAAAGAAAGATGGTTTTATTGATGAATTTATTACATTTCTCCACTTTGACATACAGCGAAAAAATAATTTTATTTTGGAAATGTCTTGGTATTTATTAAATAACGTTAATAATTAATGGTTTGTTATGCACTAAAACTCAAATTTTAGTGTACATTTTACACACATTTCACATCTGGTCTTCCTGAGTTCTTTGTAAATTAGTAATCATTCAGAAACTCAAATTATTATCCTAAGTATTGGCCAGAACTTTTTAAATTGCGAAATTTTTATGACGAATACCGAAAACATAGTACCAATACCTATATCATGTTATACGCCTATACCATATATAGACACAATGTTTCCCCTTTGTTTTTTTCTCTATATTCAAATACTAATAAATAGTCTAGTGAATGAATGATTATAGAAGGAAATGGTGGGAACATAATTATACACCTTGGGACATTGTTTGGGCAAGCAAAGGAGGTAAATATACTAATTTCTACACTTTTAGGTGGTGGGGCAGATGTGGGGATGGGGTCCTAGAAGGTACTTCTTTTTCAGGTGTTCGCTTATATCAGGAAAGCTATCCATCGCATCGACAAACACGTTTTATACAAAATGAAAGCTGATAAAATTTTCAATATGATCGAGTGTATACATTTTTTCGCTATCTCACTTAATTTCTGAGATATCCGTCCTCAACCATAGCTAAAGTTGAAAAAAAAATTTACTTATGTGTTTTACTGTGTTTGACTAGCTGACTTTTGATTTCTTCGTTCTACAATTAAGTCGTGAGGAATACAGTTTTTAATAATTATAATTATAGATAATTAAATTTGTATATGTATATGTATATATAGTGAATTAGATGTATAAATAGTTAGAGCAATATAATAATAACGAATATTATAAAAATTATTTTGTTCTGAAAATTCTCGGAATCGACGTTTAAAGATATAACTGATCTAACTTTTGAACCTTTTGTTAGAGATAAGCTACTAAAATAAGATATATTCTAGAATAAAATTTATTTGTAAAAAAGTTTCTTTCCCATGACTTAATAGTAAAACCAAGAAATCGAGAGTTAGCTAGTTAAATGTAAAAAAACATGAGGTAAATTTGTTTTTTCCCACATTAGTAATAGTTGAGGACGGATAGCTTGGGAATTAAGCGATATAGCGAAAAAGTAAATATAATCAATCATATTTCAAATTTAATCATCTTTAATTTTGTATCCTTGTCAATGCGATGGATAGTTTTCGTGATATAAACTAAATCTCGAAAAATAGCAATAAAAACGAGAGAAAATTTGTTTTTTCATAGTCATAGTTGCGGACGGATATCATGGAAACTAAGCGAAGTAGCTAAACAAGGTAGAATAAATCATATTGCAAATTTTATTATCTTTATTTTTTTTTTAGTTTTAATTTTCAGAGTGTTGTAATAGCCATGGAGTTAAAGGACAGGTACCAGCGGATAGACCGACCAGTTGGGGAGCCTCCCACTACACATCCGTTTTTTATACGTTATGCACGCACCTTTATTGTCGCCATTACCACCGAGTATATTATCTCGCTAGATTTTCAAATTATTTCATATATTATAATTCACAGTTTGTATCAAGTCAGTTGGAAAAAACAAAAATTATAATATTAGTTACGCAGCGGTTTTGGCCAAATAAAATATGCGAAAATGTCATTACCAAGTTGAAAACTCGTTTCATTCCCACAATTTAATTATTAGCTTTTATTACTTTTATTACTCACCAAAAACCACTTTTGATCTTGGCCATTTGCTCAGATAAGGCCATAAGCTGAGCGGCAATAGATGATGTAGGTATTTAGAAAACTGTATTAAAATGCCGTCAAAATTATTAAAATTGTATGAGGGCGGGGAATTTAAAATCCCCTCCGGCACCGGGACGCGAACTCGTACTTTTTATATCATCTCAAATCTCTGTTATCCGGTTGCCAGGCAACTAGTGGTGCTGTGCACACGCTTTAGCCTATTCGGCCACCCCGCCCCCAAAGGATCACCCATATATTATTTATTATTTTTTGTCACTCTCCGTTACCTTCTACAACTTTGTATGTTAGATATTGTTTTCCCTGAAGTTCTCAGCTTTCCAACGATATATTATGCGTGTATATTCGCTCTAATTTCCGGAAATTCATTCTCAATCTAAAAACACGTTTTCCCTATTTTTCCTTTTGGCCATTTAGCAAATTCTTTCATATCATATTTTATATTGAGCCATTTTTTATTTTTGATGTTGATAAGAGAGTTATTTTTTTACAATAAACCAAACATAAGGTACTTTAGAGAAAGAGACATTGACATTAGGCATCTAAGCCCTGTAAGGTGACATCAATATGGATACGACCTAGCTGATCTTAAAGATCACTTAATAATACACTGATATACGGAGTTTGTTCCAAACCTTTAGAGTCGTTTTTGAGAAAATCGTAAAAATGTGTAACATATAAAGTGGCACTTCCGATTAGCTGATTTCCAGGAAAAAGATGCTGTAACATCCCTTGCATATACTTATCTTAAATACGTAATCTCAGTTTCTTACGACTTTTCGTTTTTGAGCTATACTGTTCACATACATACACACATGATTATTTCAAATCGGGAGATCTCAAAACTTTGAAATTTGAAAATGTTTACGTTTGCAATACTTTCTCTTACTAAATGTTACATATATAGGTAAGTGAAAGTAAAAACAAAACAATGATTTTTTCTCATTAACTCTTTGATCATTTTTGAAAAGAAAAGTGATCATTGAATGGAAAGAGAATGTATCATTTGTTTTAATTCTGAAATGGAAAAAAAGCATTGAGAAAGTTTTACAGCTCTTTCGAAAAAAATAAAATAAAGTAGAGTTTAGCCGGAGTGTTTTGCAGTGTAAAACGATACAGCGCTTCTCAGTTCCCTATTAGCGGGGGACAATTTACTCTAACACTTAGGTCTTAGCAAAATCTTTTCTTTCCAGTATATTTTTTAAAAAAGTTTACTGTCACAACTTTTAGAACTTGTTATAAATAAAATGATTTTATCGGACTCCTATAATATTCATTGTGTTATACTTTACTTAACTAGATATTTCTTTTTCCATTATATCATTTATAGCGCGTTTAAGTAACGAATGTTGAAATTGTTAATTTTTATATGACAAAAAAAGTAATTCATGTTTTAATTTTAATTTATTCCTTGCGATTATTTTTTTTTTTGCTTTGGGTGTTTTAAATTATCCAAGTCCTGAGTGTTCAAAATATTTTATTTTGTGATCAAAAGAAGTGTTTATATGATTTTATTTTGTTAAAATTCTCCTGATAAAATACTAATAAAGAATAAATCTTAGAATATGAATTTATACATTTAATATTTTAGCTTGGTGGTGACGGCACATATTGTGCTTATTAAATCACTCATAAAAATGGCAATAGATATTAAATTAAGACATTAAGATTTTCATATGTCATGAAGAATATAAGTAGATTGAGTTTTGTTTAATCGGCTTATGTCGTATCCTTCATATATTTATTTTTTTAAAGTTATAAAATTGTTTCATAGCCAGGTCAGATCGTCGGCATCATGTTAATGTAACGAATGTGTAACTTTGGGCAGATTACTATTCGTCGCTTCAACTTTAGCGTTACTTCATAAAATAGTGGATAATTATTTGCAAACATTTTATCGTTTTATCAACGTCAAAGCATGATAGTAAATAATCTGTATAGACATGTCAGTGTTTTCTTTTCAATTTCATTCATTATTGGCGCAGTAGACGCATGTAGTGGTCCTTGGTCTGCTCAATTTCTTATGCCCAGTCATCCCTGTTGGCTGCGCACCTGGATATTCCGTGTTTTCTCAAATCTTCTTTTATGTTACCTGTCCATATTCTCTTCGGTCCTAGACCTAATTCCCTCTGGTTTCGCATGATAAAGCTTTCTCGCTATGTTTCATCCATTTTCGTCAACCCATTTCAATCGCTGAACTCGAGCGAATCGGGAGATTGACAGACCGCCGTAAATTGAGTATACATCCTTGTTTGTTCTCAAGTGGGATACCATTAACTGTTTTTTTTTTTTTTTCTGTTTTACCATTAACAGTTTCATTACACTGGGATGCATTGGACATCCACTTAAAAAAATTGTCAGAAAGACTTTTGCGAAGAAAACTCAATAATCCCATACGAACAAACTGGCTTCCAGGCACACCTCCGTACTGAACATCATCTCATGAAACTCAATCTGAGGTGTGCAGAGACCTCAACAAGAATACAGCGACTGCTATGATCTCCATTGATTGCACAAAGGCTTTTGACTTCGTCTCCCACGGCATTTTATGTCTCCAACTTGTGGATCTCGAGTGCCCAGAGCAACTCTGTAGCACCATAGTATCATTTCTAAATAATCGCAGCCTAATTGTACGACTTTGTGACAAGTTATTCAGCACAATCCACCTGACATGTTGAGTAACACAAGAGGCTGTCCTATCCCCTGTGTTGTTCTCCATCTACACAACAGACATAGTAGGCCATAACTATAAAGAAGCGACAATCGCCGCCTACGCAGACGATATAGCTATTTATAGCAGCAGCACAAGTCCCAAACAAGCCATGTTAAACACCGAAGCTACATGCCAAGAAATTGTTAGAAAACTCCAGCACCTAAATATCCATGTAAATCGGGAAAAGACAGACTGTCTGGTGTTTGTTATAGAGAAAGGAAAGAAGCCGAAACAACAATTGCCCCGTCAAACTCTTTCTTATACCTAGGTATAAAACTTGACCGCCATATGACTTTCTCAGCTAACTGTTACTCAAAGGTCCGCAAAGACCGAAAAAAATCCTACAGGCTCCATAATTTATTACTATCACCATTTCATTCACTCCGCCTAAAAATAAAAATCTATAAAAGCGTACATAGACCGGCACTACTATATGAAGCTCCACTTTTCACCAACCTCAGAGAAGGAATGCATCGCCTTCTACAACGAAATAAAAAAAAATAGTTAGAAAAGTAGACCGATCCACATCACTGAAGAAAACCAAGATGGATAAACTATGTTAATTCTTCGAGTTACCCACAGTTATGAATGGCGCATTAAAGCTAATGAGTCGAAATACAAACATATTACCTTTACTCTCCGACGCAATTCCTGTCCACCAGTACACCTTAATTCCATCCAGATTCCTTACTCAGACACAGTCCACTATCTTGACTTTCTGTTAGATCGAAGACTGACATGGAACCCACATACAAGACTCAAAAGACAAGAACTCAACCGACGATACGGCCAGCTATATAGACTACTGAACAGAAAATCTCAACTTTCAATTGACAACAAACTACTGATCTACAAGACAATACTGAAACCTATTTGGACCTACGGACTGGAACTCTGGGGGACAGCAAAATTTTTTTAACATCAAACACATTCAATCCTTCCAGTCCAAAGTCCTTCGAACAATAGTTGATGCTCCGTTCTATGTAACCAACCAAACCCTACATCATGACCTTAATATCCCATTTGTCCTAGACCTTATCCCTCAAAATTTATCCAAATTCCACCAAAACCTTACATATCATCCAAATCCAATTGCACAATCTCTATCTAGCTCCAGCCATCCCTACAATCCTCCTCAAAGGTTGAAGCGGCAATGGCCCAGAGACTTGTAAGAATATATAGGAGTTGTGGCAATGGCCAGATTCTCCACTCAAGCCATGTATGTCTGGTTTATTTATTTTGTTAGGTTGGTTTATTGTTATTTAGTTTAATATCTTTTAGTTTATATACAATTTACTTTAGTAATATTATATTGCTTTTTATTTATTGTTCATAGGATGAATGAGCTACTCTATATCACTATTACTATTGTCCTTGAATGTGACAGATTGTAATATCTCAATAAAGAAGTTAAAAAAAAAACAAATAAAAAATAACAGACAAATTAAATATCAAAAACTCCTTAAAATTTTTCTTGCTACAGTAGAAGGAGAAGCGTCACTAGTTAAAAAGAGTGAAGTGTTCAAAACGAGGGGTCTTGAAAAAAAAATTAATAAATAAATTGGAGGACTCCTTCCTCCAGTATAGGTACTATGATCCAACTTTTCTTTCGTCCTGTGAATATCTATTCGTTCTGTAGATGCCTTCATTAATCCGGTATGTTGCAACTGGGCGAATATTCGTCTTATATTTCCGAAACTTGGTTGTACGAATGAACAATCCGTTTTTCAGAACACTCGATAGAGAAAAGTACCCTCTGTTGGCTGTCATTATTCTAATTTTTATCTCCTCCTCTTCGTTATTGCTATCGTTAATTTAGGACCCGAGGTAGGTGAAGCTTGATGCAGCTTGAAAAAATGGCACCTTATTATTGTGCTGGGGTGGATGGACTTCTCCATCCTCAAAACAAGGATTTTGGTTTTCTTTTTTTTGACGCAAAACTCCATTTTCAATACCTCATCTTCTAACCTACAGAATGCATTCTTCACTGCTTGAAGTCACCACATCGTCTGCACACACGAGCAGTTGAATCATTCTCATGATGGTCTCTGGGCAATATTTAAGAGGAGTGGGGCTATAGAGTCACCTTGCATGAGGCCAGAACAAACTGGAAAGGAGTTGCCAAATTTTCTTTTCACCTTAACTCTATTGACGGTGTCTTCCATGGTAGCCATCGAATCAACTTTGTTAGTATGCCCAATTCGTACATTGCATAACAAATCTAACCACCTTGTCCTACGCCTACTTAAATTCAACGAAGAGCATCCAAATTGAGTTACTATTATCTTTCATTTTTTCCATAGCCTGTCTAAGGACAAAAATTTGATCGATCGTAGATCGATTTGTTCTGAAATCATTCTGGTAATCTCCGAGATCTCCACGTATGTCACGATGCGTAAGTAAGCTGATTCCTCTGTAATTTTTGCAGTCACTTGCCTCTCATTTTCTCTTATAAATTGGGACAATGAGAGTTTCTATTTCCCAAATATTTGCAATTACATTATTTAGTAATTTCTTCTGGAAGGTGACTCCTCCCTTGTTTGAAAAATTCTCAAGGGGTCCTGTCTGATCCTGCTGACTTATTATTCCTCAACTTTTTCAAAATATTTTCGACGTCGTCAGAATCTGGTGGCATTACTTCATTGATACCTTCTTTCATCCGTATAATAGCTCCTGGAAGTGGTATTCTTATCTTTAAATTATTTATTTTTCATTATAATTTAGTTGTTACTGTTTATTTTATATTTTCTGTATATCTGTGTCCCGGAGGTGGGACACCTTGTCTTCTTTATTTTATTAAATATTTTGTAATTAAGAAACAAATTTTAATAACTCAAAGTTATGGAACGTTGTTTCCTGTGAACAAATACAAAAATGGTAATGGTGTTCCTAACCTGCAGGGTAACAGATATTTGGTGGAAATGTTGTCTTACCTCATTGTCTATCTGACAGAATGTTAATAAAAAAATATTACGATTTCTTAAAGTTATGATTATTCTTTTAAATCAGAATCTCGGACAGAAAATAAGTTTGAAAAGTTAATAAAATGCCATTGCCTTAAACATGCCAGAGAAATCAGATTTTAGAGAACGCTTATTACATTTTTTTTCTATGAATAGGCTTTAATTACAAGGGGCCCGGAATTCTTTGGCGAGCCTTTTCTCATTTTCTAGGTTACTTGTATTTTCAAAAACACCCAGCTTTCACATTTTGTTTAGGTAAAAGCTGTATTATCAAGAGAAAGAAGGAAAATATTAACTTCGATATAAAACCCCTTTTTTTTCAAAACATGTTTTTTTTTTATTTTTATGAACCATTCCCGGGAATAAAGATTTCATTCATGGTTTCTTCTGATTAAATGAGAGAGATCAGACATGTTTTAATATAAAACAGAGTTTCGACCGTTTTCCTGAAAACGAAGTCCTCTTGTAATAACTCCACTCTCGTGACTTTTTTTAATTCCTTTAGATGCAGCAATAAAACGAATTCAACAAAAAATAACAACAACAACAAAATGAAACGAAAGGAAAAATGATTTATAGTTTAAGTTTTTTTTTTAATTTTTATAAAACAGAATTTGGACTATGTATATGACTGATTGTTATATAATTAATATGTATTTTATAATGATGTAGTTTAAAGTATAACAACTAAATTAAAATTAGTTTCTAGGATCTTGAAAATGGCTCCTGAAGTTGAAACGTCGAATAAATAATATATGATGTGATAACTGTGTATATTTGGGGACTTTTGGCATAAGATTTAAAAAAAAAAAAATTAAAAAATTGCACCAAACCTGAAGGATATGACTAGAAAATTTATAGTTTAATTTTATTCTTACGGTATTGAAAATATAGAATAGATAGTATCACAGGTGGATCTACGGAGGAAGGGAGGGGGGCTTTCGGGCTGAAGCCTCCCCCCATAATGGTAAAATATAACTGTTTTACAGAAAAAAAATATTAAAAAATATCTCTTAAAGTATTCTTGTTCGTTTAATTACATTTAATAGGACTTCAAGAACCACTTAAACACCATTTCATATAGGTAGTTAATTTCTTTTATTTTTTTTCTAATTAATTATTGTTATACGTATATGAAAAAAAATCTTTCGGGCTGAAGCCTCCTCCCTCCCCCAAAATTAAATCCTGGATCCGCCGGTGGATAGTATGTATTGGTAAATGACTGCTTTGCTCATATTTGAGGTGTATTTATACTTAAATATGTATAACGAAGATATATACTTAATTGTTATTTTCATACTTGCCAAAATACTCTTTAATACAAAATAGTGACTTTTTGGATATACCACTACCGTTAACACTACCACCTCTCTCGTTTACTACTTCACAAGTTGCCCAGCAAATCAAACATCTACTCAAAAGAAAAGCTCCAGGTTATGAATTAATAACAGCCGAGGCGCTCTGG